GCTATGTCGCCCCCCTCCTCCCTTCCCCCTCTCCCCGCTTTCTCCCGCCGTATTTCACCCATTTGCATGCTGAAAAGTGCTGAAAAGGAGACGAGCACTGTGATACCACATACACATACACACACACATACTGTCTTATGGTTAAGATGACCTTTACCCTTCGGTCTTTTCACCATTGACGGATTGGGTTAAATTGAGGAGAGATACTGGAGAAGTGTGAGACGAAGTAGATTCGATACAACTGCTTTTTTCTTTTACCCTTTCTTTCTACCCTCTCTCTCACAGCACCAAAATAAAGAACGGTTCAAAGCCATAGAAAGGGTCAGAAATGAAATATTTGGAATGCAGGGAAGAGGAGGAAGAATAGAAAATAGTAAGCTGATGAGGCGGGGATGGTAACAATGATTAAGTGCGCCGCTCTCTCCATCCCGCCTTCCTTTGCTTCCATTTGATGGATGGCTCAAACGACTGACTAACTGGATAGGGTTGCAAAAGCCAGGCCGAATCACAAGCAAACAATTTCTGGATGGATAGATGACTTAGTGGAAGGAAGTTCGATCCCAACCCTTAGTTATGATAGATCGTTGAAGACATTAGGGCGCATTGGGCGTACATAAAGTTTACCTTTCTCGATTCCCTCTTCAGCAAGTGAAGCGATTTCGTCCACTTAGCTTACACTTGGCGGTTAATGATTCAGCATTAATTCCCACCGCCTTCCACTCGGATACCCAGACTGGTATCTCCTTGGCTAATTAGAGCATTGCCAATCAGGATTTCCTTCTGAGTTCCTTTCTACTCTCTTTTGTCACTTCAGCTGTCATTGCTTCCTCGTTTTTGTTCTAGGCTGCTGTGCTTCGAAATCACCTTCACACTCTTTCTTACTTTTCCGATAAATTTATTGGACGACAGCATTTGCTTGCATTTGAGAAACTTCAAAGAATCAAAAGTTACAAATAATAAATAGTTATTCCAGGAATGATTTTCATCTGTTAAAAGCAAAGCTTCTTGGATTATAATAGGCATTTCATCAACCTTTTATTGTTTAGAATAGCGAGCGCAAACAGGAAAGGTCCTTTCTTTCCTTCCCTCTCAACATTCGAATAATTATTATCTTCCAACAAATCGACAGCTGGTCCAGATAATATGCATAGCATATTAGTGACTATGAAATATGGAATTTGCATATTAGAATTTTGTCTACTGATATCCGTGCAGTGCTTTTCAATCTAATATTGAAATTTAAATATAAAGACCAGAAGGGAAACATATGAAAGATACTTTAGCCTCCCTCCAGGACTGCATGGACGGAAATTATAAACTCATTTCTAGCCATGAAAGTCAAACTATTCACGTGGTCGATTTATTCCGTCACTCAAAACAGTGATGTGAATTATGGAGAAATCCATTAAATATTTCTGATTTAGCATGATTATCGCTTCGGGCCGAAAATAAACGAGGTAAATTTGAGTGAGATATCTCGGGAATAATAAATATGTGCTTTTAAATTCCGAGTCATTTCAACGAGAAATAAGATTAGCATACAAAAATTGTGATATTAGTGATGCGATTTCAACACATCTTTTCTGGTTTCTGTTGTGGCATATAGCTTCACGTAATCATACGTTACGTGAATTTCGAAACTCCTGACCCATTCCGGATATATTTTCTATATAAGCTCCTTGAAGACAATTTCCTCACTCGATAGATTACTGATTACTTGGAAGCGTTGCCCTTTATTAGTTCATTGAAGTAATTAAATCTAATACACGTTTCTTCCAGATGATGGCATGACTAAACATCGAATATAAAAAGCTTCATCTGGCACCCAAAAAGAAATGAACAAAATGCCAATTAGTAAACCATATCTTTCAAATTTTCCAGCTGGATAGGACGTCAGTTGTTGGAGTGGAATGATTTTTTTCTGTCCCAAAGAATGATGGGTTGATATTTCCCCGTTCTTTTGGAACCTGTTGACCATATGTCTCATCATGCCATCATACTGCTTTGGTCATTGATGTTTCTAACCGCCGTAACCCTTACGTGTTCAGAAGGTCAAATTTTATGAGAGAAAAAGTGGTGAGACATTTGAGAATATTCCTGGCTTTAATGATTGTACAAAATTAATATTGATTTAATATTGATTAGTACTGATTTCGATTTTTATTGCAATGATAATTTGTTAAAGCATGGGGAATGGAAGAGAAGATCTCTGTTGATAATGAGGCGGTAATAGTGTGAAATTGATAATTCTTCTCTGTTGAAATGCATATAATAGCAGTGATAATGGGTCCTGATAAATCGTCCATCGGGTACATATATCATTTCTTTTCTTCCTCTTCTCTTTGCAATATTTACGAATAAATCATTGTAATTGCCTAGTGGCTAAGTTTTATGGCCTAATAAATTACATGCTAAAGCATTGTTTTGTGATGGGTGAGAATTGTGCAATATGATGTTTATTGATCATACGTTTCGCTCTTCTATGGGTTTTATTGAAATCATTGACAATTATAAAATTGTTATTGCATTTATGTAGACAGTTGCTTCCAACAAGTGTTTAGTTACATTTATCTTTACTAATTAATTAAAGTTATTGTTATCATAATTAACAAAACATATTGAATTATCATCATTGCAACGGAAAAACAGTATTTAACCATCTGATGCAGGTTATCTTCATCGATGAGTTTTACTGCAGCTGTGTATACTTCACTAATAGACACTCGAGGAAAGTTCCTCGTAGCTAATTTAATCCAGTCACTACTGGCCACATGGTGGTCATCTCGCTTAATTATAACTTTTGATGCTTTTTCATACGGCTAATCGTTGCAGCAAATAAAGCAATCATTTTTCATCGTTGATAAATTTGTTGCAATGGACAGACAATTTACAGTTATCAGCCATAATTTTCGCATTAACCGACGCATAAGCGGGTGTTGGGAAAATTTATGGTCTGCCGAAGATGAATTTCGGAAAAAACTTTGAATTTGAATCCAGAAACCGGAGAAGTGAAGTGGTTGCTGCACGCGCTCCATTCTTCGGCTATTCCACTCAAACATTTCTTTCATCCAACTCCCGCACATCACTGTACCTTGTAGACACGGTTATATTAACATAGACACAAAAACACACGCATACATGGCTACGTAGGTAGACACGTATATACACAACGAAACGTAAACGGTGAGTCATACATGTTGAGAAGTACACCAATGCAGCGTATAGGTAAGTAGTACCGATCCGAGTTTGCGAAAATGCAAATAGAAATTAAAAAAGAGTTATGGAATGGAAATGCGCAAGTGTTTGTTCAAACAAAAAAAAGAAATTTCATCGATGAAATAATGCACGCCAGATGCATGCAACCATCATATACGCATTCCTGCATTTAGATGACCGCCTGCCTTTAGAGCAAACAGAAATGCATGCATGCATGCACACATCAACGTATTAACATTAACAATGTCACTGTTTCCGAATTTCAAAAAATATCGTTTTTCAGTATTATTTACAAGAGAAAAAGCTGCAAAAGCTTTTGATCAAAAACGTCGAAAAATAATAAGTAAGCATGGATGAACATTGCGATATGAGCCAATCTCCTTTGTTTCTGTTTAATTGGCTACGAAGTTCTGAATGATTTCATTGGAAACCTCAAATGATATATATATGCTGGTTTTGAGGTGGGATACTTTGATCATCGATAGTTGTGCCATCATCAAGATAAGATAAACTGAATGATTTAATCGTAATGGTACTATAGACAGTCTTTTATTTCTTCATATAACACTGTACAATTTAATCTTCTTTCCTCTCTTTTTTCTTCTTCCCAAAATCGGCAATTTCATTTGCATCAATTGTTACCGTCATATATTTAATTTTGAAAAAATTCAATGATTTGCTGAAATTTCATGCAAAACCATATGAATGACAAAGTTGTATATTTGTAAATTAAAGTAATATTCGAATTTAGGTTGTTCAGGATTTTGCAGCTCAATTTTGAATGAAATTTTTATAATTTTAAAAATGAATAGGTAAGTAATATTTAAAAACACACAGAAAAATTGATTGGTTGGACTCACATAGCCAAACTTTTGATATATATTCTGAAAATTTTTGGAAAAAAGGAATTTATAGCAAGGATTATTTTCTTAAAACTTGAAACTAGCCAGTAGAATCCATTTTGCTTGTTCCAAGTTTCACACCTGTTGCAGTAATTCAAGCAGTCAATTATTTGTATTACTGCGGCTGTGAGCAAACTAAACAGGGACAGGGAAATCCAGTTTTACTTATTTGCTTCACATATGTACATTTGCGCTCCAATCAAATTCACTTTATTTGGTCTATTAGCTCAAAATATTTTGATTATTGTTGTCCAGGCCTGCTTTCATGCTGATTATTGCACCTGCTCTTCTTTCATTTGAAAAATCCAATTTTGACATTTCATACAATTTCTAAATATGTTCACTTTCAAACTGTAATGGAATGTCTCCAAAAGAAGATGACTCAGCATTTAATATATTGTATCACCACCACCAATGTTCCCACAAAAAACTATGATTACTGCAAAGATAGTGCATAGAAGAAGTGATAAGGGCAAAGAACTGGAAATATCATCAAATAGCTTAAAATCTCTACTCTAGCGAATCTCGATGATATCGACAACATTACATTCAAAGATCGTTTTTAGCACTTTTAATCATTTTAGTTATACCAAAAGTAAAATGTGATTTGTTACGATGGAATTTCAATGATGAAATAAAATATTCTCATAAAATGTAAATTAATATTCTTAAAAGTATTCTTCACAAAATTACTGTAATTATTCGAGAATAGTGAAGGACTGTGATTGTTGGTGAAGGCTCTGATCCGAAGGAACACGCGCAAAGAGAAGGTCGTTTCGCAGCAACTGTTGCGCTTCATTCCAATTTCTACCGGTTTTTCTTGGATTTAATTTAATTGTCGAATCCATCCAAAATTAGCGAAAGCTTTGGAATTAGATGAAATTAACTATCAGTAGATACATTACGATGAGATTTGCGCCAATTCGTCCGCTTGAAAATTCTGAATGTTAACAATGCTGTTGTTAAATGTTCCACTAATAATCTCGATGAGAAATCCGAACTGTCACGGTTATAAGCTCTCAACATAAACTTCCTGCCATGAAAATTTTTTTTCGAATTGTGTGTGTCTTTGTATTTGTATGTTTCCATGACGCAATGCCATATTGCCGTATGCGACAACTCCGCTTTACTCCCTTCATATTTTCCTGTTTCTTCTCTTCTAATGCTCATTTATGTAGATGATGGTACTGGGCGTTGTTGCGTAAATGTACTGGATTTAAAGAAGTCTTTGTTAAAAAAAAAAAAGAAAGAAAAAGAAGGAACAGAACTAAAAAAGGAATGGTGTAAGAACAGGTCTTGCCTTCCTCTATAGCATTCTATTCCTGTTTCACGTTTGATGACTTTTGTCCGCTTTCCATGGCCTCTCCCTTTCAATCTTTAATTCACTCTTCTCCCTCCTTACCTTAGAATGTTGTGTGACAATGACCAACTGAAACATATCTGCATCATCAAAATGGTTCTCACCTTCAGCACATCCATTCGGTTATCGTATCGCATGAAGCATGCAGTGACATCTCGAGCGATCAAATGGCCGCCATCTCTTGTCTCAGATATTCTTATTGTATACATAGTTTCGTTTTTAATATCAAGGTCTTTGGCGGTGCATAATGAATCCTATAAAGTTACATATTTCACTAATATTTATAGGATAACAGTTGAAAGTTTTTTCCAGAAAACTAAGCCAAGCATGAGATATCAGTATGTAGAGCTAGCTGGAACAAAATGTTGTTTACCGAACTTATCGGGATGTTGTTAGATTATTGATTGGATCAAGTGTCAGTAGCAGTCTAATGAATTCAGCATACGAGTGTGGACTGCTCATTTGCGTAGTTCAGTTCTTTGGAGAGAGAAACGGGTCAAACTACCGATTAATACTTACATTTGACTTGATTGTCAATAATTTTGCAGTGTGTACATGAACATACATATATTCATGACCTCAATTTGCATAAGTAATGCATGCGTGCATGATGCTATCAGCAGTGTCACACATCTAAGCACTATTTCACTCCAATTAGTTCTATGGAAACGTTGCTTTTATATGATTAAACATTCAGGAGAGGTAAGAAGTACTTTACTTCCGTAGTATGACAAGAAGGAAATGCTTGTTAGTTTTGGAAGGATGGATGATGCTTCGTTTATAGTTTCATCTTTTATGAAATTCATTAATTGATAGAAATCTTTAAACTGATTTGTCTTAATTGGTATAATTAGACTGAAATTAAGACGTTGCTTAACAAAAAGATTTACATTACGTTGCAATAAATTATTCAGTTTTAGCGTAAATTAGGAAAATTCCTTCTTCTCTTCATTTCCTATACACTTTGTTCCTTTTCCGGAACTAATTTTAACGGATTATTTGATATAGTGCGCCTATTTTCATGTTCTAGGCACCGTTCAAGATACTGGAAGTTCATTTCTTTTGAAGAAAAAGTGATTAAATAACGGGACTGTTAAGAGTTTGGTCTGTTATGTAATCGGAACATTATTGGTTAATTAATGGTTTTTTTCTTCTCAAAAGACTATCTTTTCTTGTTTTTGTCACTGTTTCATCAATGTAATGCCCAAGGGCTTATCAGTGTGACAAAAGATGCATTCATCTGTTATTCGAATCACTGTTTTTTCAAAACCTTGTCGAGAAAATTCCTCTCAGAACCACACTCTGAGGAAAACTTGACGATGCTAGTTAATTTAAACAATGAAAGCATTAGTAAGCATTTGCTGAAGTAACAGAGCACTTGTTGAAGTAATAGTCGTGGTATGATAAAAGGGCAAATTCAGGAAGTACCGGTCGAAAAAGCCTGAGTACGCAGATTTCTTGCTTCATAAGGCTCTTCATACTCCATCAAAATAAACCTGCTCCGCTGGATGCATGCGACGCGGAAGAAAAAGCAATGCTCATAAAAAAACCTGTGTCTCAGCAACCATGTGTTGTGAACCCCCTTCCCACCTCTGACAGCAGGACATTTAGTTTTCTTGATAATTACCGAAAGTCGATGGATGATGCATTTCCTCCATCCCAACAAAAGCCTCACAACGACCACACAATGGTACTAGTACCGATTTTTTCCCCGAAGATTTCTTGAACATCCTACTTGTTGTTTCATTATTGCTAAGCAATAAAAATATCCCTGAGGCGTTTTTTTATTTGTACTTGAGCACTGGAACCTGTTGATGTAAACAGTGATGGATCAGATCTGTCTTTTTATCTATTCGTTTTCCTTTCCCTCTTCAATATTTGATAGTAACTTAGATTTTATCTTTACTAAAAACACAAGAGCTCCAACGGACTTACATCTTCTACAGATGAACAACTCCTTGTTCAAAAGCCATAAACAACTTGCTCCGTTGTTTGCCAAATAGCTTTTTTGGTATTTCACTTTTTCAATTTTTTAGCTTAAAAATATAAGCACAAAATGTCATTTGACGTCTTTCTGACCAAACATTATTTACTATCCGTTAGAACTGGGAAATTATTCATCGCTTCCTATACTACCTTCTTCTGAATTTTCTTTTGAATTATTCTCATCTTTTACTTTAACTTATCATCAATATATGAGCATGTTACGAAGTGTCATTATATGAAAAGAGAAGGTCACTGCTTCGTTTCATTTCTCAACTGAAACGCCCCGAAGAGAGCAGGCAGGGTTACATCACTTTCACCGTTCTCTCCCGATTCTCCGATAAATTCAATTCTTTTTTCTAAAAAACCGATGAAGTTGAAAAAAAGCATCGATCAACATTCATTCCTATCAACAAAAAGTGTGACCCTCCTCCCGATGTCGAAAAAAATGCTCGGAATCCCATCCCATCATTCCTTAAAATCCATCCGATGAGCAAACTTTTCATACCCACTTTATCTTCTCTGATAAAATTGATTCTCATTATTCAAATTGTGCATATTTACTGCGCTGTTGACTGTATCCATTTACAGAACTATACAAGCAATGGCAATAGATGGAATGGTTGAGCCTACGGCGCATTTTCACTGCACCAAAGCCAAAATAAAAATAAATTTGCATTAATCAGAACGCTCTGTGACCTTGCTGTGCTGTCGTCCCATTCTCTTTACCTACATGTTTTCATCTTTCTGTTCATTTTTCTTAGCCTTTTCGTAAACTGATAATGGATAAATCACTTCGTTAAACTAGAGAATGTGTATGACAAGATCTACAATTATGAGCGATAAACTGATCAATCGAGTGATTAACTGATTGTCCATTTCATGTTACTCATTTCAGAATTGCCAACTTGTAATATTTGATTGTAGTACGAGAATTTTCTATTTGAGATGCAATGCCAGTTGAGGTGGAAGTAGATGTATCCACTGATGTAACCACTGCAAATACTAGCAAACATTCATATTTGAGACAAATTTCCGGTGGAGTAACTGTTCCAGTGGTACAAGATAATTTTCTCGAACGGTACCAATTAGTCAGGTAATTTACCCAAGACTGGATAGCTATTACTTGACCTATCAGATTAAAATGTAGAAGGTTTATGTCTATTTACTATCTATATGAGTCTAAAAACTTTTTTTGCCAGAATTCAAAAGCGATTTGCTCGAATTCAAATGGATAACACTGAGAACATGGCTAAATTATTGACTGCTGTTTAATTCTCTTAATCCTATTACTCCTTAGCAGTATTGGCTCTTGGAGAGATCTAGGCTGGATTCTTGTCCTCACTTCTCTTTTCTCTTATTTTCAAGTAGTTTAATAAACTTTAGTTCTTTGTAGTTTGTAGTTTAATAAATTCAATTACTTCAGCAGCAAAGGGAGAACATCTGGCAATATGGTGGAATCACATGATTCCTGCTATTCGAGCTGTTCGGAAGAATCGCATAGCTCGTTATCGCGGGAATCATCGGATAGCATTGCGAAGAAAATTGAACAAATAAGTGTGGCTCGTAGGGAATTGAATGCGGTAGATACAGGAATTGAACAGCAATATCTTTCGAAACATAGATTTCTTCAGAACATAGACTTCGCAACGCGACTCGGATATTCTATGGAACAATTGGAGACTGTCCTTGGAAAGCTTGGAATGAGTGCCAGACAGGTAGGGGAATTTGAGTTCCTTTCATTTCATCTCTTGTTAATTCAATTCCAGTTTCATCTTTGTTTAGTTTCATTCGAACTTTCCTTACAACTTTAGCTTTCAATTATTAGTGGATAAAAAATGTAGCCAGAATGTAAGCCTCACCTGATATTTCAGTATATATGGAAATTTCTTCTTGACAAGATGAATACTAAAGAGTCTTACCTGGCGTAGATCTGGATCTAATTTAATCAGGCTGATGTGAATCAGGATCTAATTTAGTCAGGCTAATACAGATGAGGGTGCAATTTAGATCAAGATCCAATTTAAATTCATCGTTCAAAGAAGTTCAAAGAAGAATATATTTAATAGCTGTTATCAAGTTGTTTTAAAATCCCTTCAAAACATCATCATAAATCAGTAGTGTTTGTAGCATTTTGTATTGATTGCTCAGTAATATTTGTTGGATTAGGTTTCTTCAGGGCACGAAAAAGGATTTTTTGAACATTTCGATGTTGCAAGTAAACAGAAAGGAGTTTTTTCCCGTATATTTGAATTGGTAACATTTTGTTGGATGAGTGATAAAGTAAAAAGCATATCAATAATGTAACTTCTTGGGAATAATTTCTTATTTAATTCAATGATTTTCGATCCATTCTCTGCATTTCTTCTTGTTTTCTATCCGAACAAGCCCTTTTATAGTTTATTTTTCTTCTTCAACTGAACTTCATTATATTGTGTTAGCAGTACGTTGAAGATTATTCTGTTTAGTGAGTACGTTTCTGGTGATCTCCGATAAAAACTCTTTGTGGAATATAAAAATCCGATACGGGGCACCAATATGAAGATTAATTCAGGTGCCAGATTGCACACACACAAATTTTTGCGAATTGCAATTTCCGTTCGGTAGAGAGTATTTCAAAGATTGTTAGGTATCAATACTTTATTGATACTACCTGAAATATCGATATCTTGGGTAAAGTTGTGGTTAACAAGAAGACCTGTTACCAAAGCCTATTTGGAACGATACTGATAGACACATGTTTAAGAGAGTAATTCTGGTGCAGATGTTATCAAACAGCGGAGGAAAGGCAAGATGCACGATAGGTGGGCGGTAATCACATTCCAATCAGTTTTCCTAAAAATTAAAATTTGAAATAAGGGGTATAATCATTCAATGCTACTTTAGTTCACTTTTAAATCAACTTCCAGGATCAGATACTTGATGAACTGATCAAGTTTGGACCTGGAATGATGGATCGAGGTTTGAAAATGGTTGAAACCAGATCACCAAACACACTCACCACAGAACTTCGCAGTATCGTTATCGATGGTTCCAACATCGCTATAACGTTTGTTTATCACGCATCTCATTCGAAAATTGAATATTCATTTTGTGGTAAATAACGTCAGCATCTAAATCACTTATGATATTGAAATTTAAGGTGTAAGTGAAAAATGATTTGAATATAATACTTGAGACTAAGTCTACAATTCACAGTCATATTTGAAAATGGTCCATAACGCGGAATTAATTTTTCACTAAATGATTCTTCTCCAGCACTAAACCCTGAACCAGAACTTATCAGTGATCTTTATTTGTGTCGGTACTGATTTACTGGAATGAAATTTTTGAAGCGAATATAGTTTAGTCTATTCATTTCATATTTAGGCAGTAATGTTGGATAAGTTTGTTCCCTATGCTTTTCTTATCCGAAAAGTATCTTTGAAGATGAGAAATTTAAACTATATTCCATTAAGATTATTGCAACGAGAACTAGTTCGTTTGCTCACATTTTCTGATTTTTGTTCACCAAAATGAGCTTTGATATTTATTGATAAATTTTCAGCGTACAGTAGAAACGAACCACTAAAAATCCGTCAATGTATATCTGATTTTTCTTTTTTTTTTTGTGGACGTAATATCGAACAAGAAATCTAGCTGGATTTATTTAATTATTTTGACTTTTCTTGGGATTAAATAAATGGAAAACCAGAAATTTTGATAAAATAAGCCTCTGCGATAAGGTATCATGACAAATTCGTCACAGTGATCCTTGGAACTCATCAACGTACAAAGATCATTTTGATAAAAAAAAAATATTGAGCATTCAATTCGTCAACTAAGATATTTTGTTTTGTCAATAACTTGATTATTAATAAATCAAAGATGAAACGGCCATTATTTCCATTTCTGACCAGCTCCCTTCCTTTTTATCGTCAATTTATATCCATCAAGAAAATATGCCTCACAGTTTTGCCTCATTATTGTCGTCCTTTTTTACCATAAAAGTCGCTTCGACACTACGTATTTCTAAAATTAGCTGAATGAAACTTAATGAACTTATTTCAATTTATCCTTCCAACAAGGTCATAAATTTAAAAGTCCATTTTTTGACTGAGCCTTCCAAGATGATATGAAATTTGATATGGATATTTTATTACGATAGGCTTCACATAAAGTACAATGTTCTTGTAAAGCCTTAGTGTTGTTACGCTTGTTATCGAGAAAATTTACCACTTTATCACAATCAGTTTATCAGATAGACAGTAAAAGTAGAGAGTACGTAAGTAAAGTCACAGAAATTTCAGACACGGCCGCAAAGAGATATTTTCTTGTCGTGGTATACGCGAGTGTGTGCAATTTTTCCGTAATCGCGGTCATACGGACATAATTGTTTTCGTTCCGCAGTTTCGACGTGAATCAGCTCGTTCGGATTGTCCAATCACGGATCAGTATATACTTTTCGAACTGGAAAAAGAAAATGTCGTAGTAAGTCTTATTTTTTCTCTTTCTTCCACTCGTCACTTGAGTAAAAGAAAAGGACACCATGAAGGCATTATTTAGTCTTGGAATTCCAAGTAACTATAAGAGAAGATTCGATATGTTTGTCACCTCAAGATTGGCTCAATCATATTGTTCTACAATTTAGTGTCACAGCTTCGTTCAATCTTTGTCAACCATTTTGAAAGTTCCAGGATCGAATTTAAAAAAATTTTATGATGGTCAAAAAGAGATGTTAATAATAATTCTGAGATAATTATTCTTAACTCGATTGATTACAGTGATTGTAAAAGTAATTTGTAGGTATGGACACCATCGCGTCGCATCAATGGTCGTCGGATTGTGTGTCATGATGACCGCTATATCCTGAAGACAGCGGAAGAAAAGGATGCAGTAATAGTAAGTAATGATGAGTATCGAGATTTAATCAAGGAAAATCCACAGTATCGCACGCTGGTCGATGAAAGGCTTTTGATGTATTCATTCGTTGATGGCAGGTATCATTTTGTTTGGTATCTCTTCAGAAATTCTAAAAACTTTTGCAAGTGGTCACTTCTTGGCCGAGTAATTGTTCCTTTCTGGAGGGTAACTGAAGTAAGATGATTCATGCGACATCGTCCATACTATAGTTGCCAAATTTTTCGACGAACTTGTCACGAGAACGAGGTTGAAGTTTCTCTAACTTTCTGATTAAATTTTTAATTATTCTAATTACTTCGCTTCAGTTCGTTTTACCGTTTCAAAATTTTAATTTTCGTGTTGTTTTCATCAATTGTTTCTTTTTTGATTTTGTGTCAAATATGTTTTTCTCGAGTAAAGTTTTCTTGAAAATTCTTTCGTTGAAATCAATTCTTATGAATTCTAGCCAAGTTTGCGGTAAAAAGTAACATCCTAAGCTCCTATTTACTTAGTATTTGTGAAGCAAGGTATAATATCTCTGCTTACAAAATTTCCGAAGACTTTTTGACTTATTTTGCAAGGTTTATGCCACCCGATGATCCACTTGGAAGACATGGACCAAGGTTGGCAGAATTCTTGACGAAGGGGAATCGACAATCTCAATCTCAAGTTTGTCCGTATGCACGGAGATGTACATATGGGAATAAATGCAAGTGAGATTTGATGCGAGATTTCTACCAGAGTTGAACAGTATTTGTAAAAATTTGGACAAATTTGAGATTTAGCAAAAGGAATGATTTCGAAAATTGGAAAAATGAAATTAAGTGTTCGAATTTTTCATATAAAAAAATTTTCTTCACTTTTTTATTGTGAGATTTAAATAGTACTCTGATCTTTACCAGATATTATCATCCGGAAAGACCAAACGGTATTCATATCAGTGTTACGAATCAGTTAATGAAAGAAAAACAACGAAAACAATTTCTTTCTACCTGTTTGTTCTTTTACAGTGGTTTGAACTTGCTTTTCAAACGTATTTTGTAGATAAAAAGGAATTTGGTTCTCTCCAACTTTTTAAACATTTTTTGATTGGAATTGGAAGTTTAATTTATTTGAGAGAGTACGAGAAAATAATGGCTTGACGAGAGAACAACTTTGCCTCGTTATTTTACAAAGATTTTAAAATGCTTGAAGTGGAATTTCTGTTCTTGATACTTGGAATAAGAATACCTAAGATAACTTATGCTCCTTTTGAAATCAATCCAGGATACCACAACCATTTCCAGATGATACATCCCAACCAATTGCAATTCCTCATGAACTTATGGACCATCCAGCGGTCACTCCAACACAAAGCTTGAATATATCAGCATCGAAGAAAATGACTACATATGACGACGATAAGGTAAGTTGTTTTAATTCTCGCAATACATGAACTGTTATAGTTCACTTGCAGAATCAAAGTTTAAATTTTAGAGGCAGATGCGGGACTCAATGAATTATTATCAGAAGGAAGCAACGCAACTCCTATCTCCTCTACCGCCCTCTCAACTTTCTGTTTCTAGTTTCCAACAAACAACCGCTCCATTTCTACAGAATCTACCACTATTACTAAGCTGGACTCATCAAATTAGAGACCAGGATTGCTCCGCCTTATCGAATGATTCCCCAAAAGTGGCAAATCCAAAGCCTTTCTTACCCTTACCGCCTATAATCAGACGTAATTCTTCTGCAACAAATCTTGCCCATTATTGTTACAGTAGCACGACAATACCTCCTGCTTATCAACCCTACCCATACATCAGACTTACCCTACCGGAATGGCAAGTTTCCTTCAAAGCGCTTTTAATTTCTCCTTTCCATAAGACTGCAAAAAACAATAAGAACTGAATAAGAATAATAACTATTGTTACAGTAGCACGGCAATACCTCCTGCTTATCAACCCTACCCATACATCAGGAAAAAACAATAAGAACTGAAAGAACAATACAATAAGAATAAAACAATAAGAACTGAAAGATTAATAAAAAAGTAGAATATTATTCTAGAAAATCTTGGAATATCTCACGTAGTTAAGAAATTCAGAATGCAGAGCTCTCTGAATTCCGTTGTGCTCATCATTGTTCACCATGATGATGAACTATGATGTAGAATTACTTGTTACTTAACTTGTCCCTTTTCTCTGTCATGTTTTAATGGCCAAGTCATCGGAAATTGATTGAGTTACTGAATTTCTATTGATAATTTACTTGTTATTTGCTTACGAAATTCGACTCGAAAACTTCATGACATAATGAATGAAAGAAAAGAGGAAATTTCTCTTAGGCCTCGAGCAAGTCAAAAAAGAGTATTTAAGTGGTCGTTTGAGACTAAATACTCCAGACTACTAGTCTTACCAGCGAGTAGATTACATTATATAGTTAGAAACTCTCTTTCAGAAGGTCCATTTCAAAGTTCTTAGTATCTAAGTTAAGTCGAATGATGTAAAAATTTGATATAATCATGCTAATTGTCAGCAAAAGCTCTTTGCGATCCATTAAGATTTAAAATTTCAACTTGACCCGAAATATTGCTTGCAGCAATTGCAATAGCATACTTCCAGACAACGAGTCATGTCCCGACGTATGCGATGGTTTGTCGTCACCGCAATGCTTTATTCCAAATCCGTGTACCTTAAACAATGCATGTGCGATGATGCAAACTATCAGATCTTCACATCTGCTTATTCCATCTACAGCTCTTTGGGACGAATCGAAACTAAGCTTCATAAGGCAATAATTTCCTCGTTCCATATCAGCAGTCCATAAAAGGGTGATCCAAATTGTTACATGTCTTCTTTGCGGTGCTTAGAAATACCGTTGCCTGATTCCGAAAGGACCATGTGGCTATGATCTGTATTTTAAAAGTTTATGGTTTTACAAAAATCTCGAAAAACTCAAAGTTCGTTTCCAAGCTTGTACACACACGAAAAAGTCTTTCCAGATCATCATTTGAACCAACTTATCCGGAGATAATAAACGAACGGCACCGGTTACAAAGTATACTATGTCAGTTGTTTCCGGAACGAGTCGTATCGACTGTAATGGAAGCGTTCCCAAATGAAAGTAACCCGCAAGAACTTTGTCCACGGATCATAGCAGAACTTCGAAAAGATCAAAGTAATGCGTAGGATATCGAGTCTCTTGTTGGCTTTTCCGCAAAAAGATCAGATAAGCCCTGGTCCCTTTACCTTTTTCAAGGCAAATAACTCTTAGCCTTCTACTTATGTATCTTAGCTTTCATTGTTATGAAATCGCTAACCGAATTCTCTCGGAGACGTTTTTTGGACCTCATTTGAAGTATCTGTTTCATATCTTTTCAAAATTCATCATATGACCTTGGAAATAATCAAGATGATTATGGCTTCTAAAAAGTTTGTGGTTTTCGAGATTATCTGATACTTCTCATAGATCTTCAATATACAATAATTTGTATACAATAGCTTTCCCACTACTACCGCTCATCTCTGTCCGTTAACAAAACACCGAAACCTTTGTAGTACTGGGAGATAAACATCTGTAAATAATAATACCAAGACACGGCTCCTCCTGTATCATCGATTACTCCTAGCGGTCACTGTGAACAAGTTTATATTTATTTCTTCATTTCTGATGAAAATGTTCAATTCAGTTGTTCATATTATTCATCACCATCTTCACCGCTATCTTGGTGTTCTGTATAGTCGATTTTTCGGCTGAGTCACATCACCTGGCACTTGCTTACTGTATGCTTCTGCCTTTGTTTTTTTTTTTGTACATGACTAAAACATCCGAATATATTCACGTTTTATTTGCACCCATTTTAATCACACCTTATCCATATAATTTGATGAGCAAACAAATTCTGCATGGAAGCCAATCAGTTTCTCAACATTGAGCCGTAATGCCATCTTGCGCCACCCTCTTCCATTTTCTTAATTGTGAGAGGTAGCCTCAAACATAATGAACGACCAGTCTTTGTTCATACTTGATGTTCGATCTCACATTCGTCAAATCTCGCCTATGGTAACAGGGCATACTCTTAAATGATGGAATCCAGATCCCTAAATCTGAAACACAGCGATTTCTTCCACTAGATTTGTTTGAAAAAAAAACACCAAAAACAGAAAAATACAGAATTTCGACGTCCGGTTTATTATCAATCCTTTAATATGCAAGCAAGCTGCAGACGAAATATTACATTTACAATACAAATTATTTACATTACAAAAATTATAAATAAATTCCATAAGAAACAATGAAATTAAAGCTTCCAAAGAATAATAATAAAAGCTTTCCACATTCTGAAAATTAGCACCCGTAAGGAAGGGATGAATGTTTTCCCTTACGATGATGGGAAGTATAAAAAGACTTGAAAATGACGAAACGTAAATTTTTCTCAAAAAATCTCGAGAACTTGTGACAATTCTACTGCAATTCATCCACTATTCCTTCCTGCCAGACGTCAGTCAACATTGTTAGTGGGAATGGATCATAGGAATAGTAATTCTGTATTTTAATTGTTAGATAACATCATTACTGTTTACTGCAATTACCAAACAACAAAAAGAGCAGTTGATCTAAACTTAGCAAAAGATTAGACTTGTCCACGGACAGATGTAAACTGAGAGACATCAGTAATAAAAGGAATACAAAATTACGTTTAAAGGCTTATGGAATGCAAGCAATTTATATCCCTTGGAAAAGATAATGATTTTCATTTTTTCTTTCGGTCAAAGTTATGGGATGATAATGCACAAAGTTCTAAAGCTCCTAGACATCTCAAATGCGAATGATATACTGATTAAAGACAAATAAGAACTAGTCCAAATCACGTACATACTTATCGTTGTCGATCAATAATTCAAAAATTTCAGATATAAGATACCCGCCAGTTCCGAAATACAAAAAAAAGGAAAACATAGAAAAAGTTTGAATACCTACCATTTCCTAAAGATCAGAGTATAGGTTCTCCTAGCTCTCTATATTCCTTCAAAGAATTTTATTAATAAAGAACTAAGTCAATGCACGACGAAATTCTTCAACTTCCCTGATACTTGAGGCATACCTGCCGAAGCTTTGGAACAACGAAACGACTTCATTCCTGGAACAACAACGAATAAATGAGATGTAGGAAAAGGAATCAACCTTAGTGCTTCCTCTCATATCTTGTAATCAATAACCGAAATAAAAGTTGGAAAGCTAAAAAATGATTATGGCAATTTGCTCTCTAGAACCATTATGAAGGCCATTTTTCTAAAACAAATGAAAATGAACCATGAGAAGTTCCTATACAGAAAAGAATATAGTGATAATGGTGAAATTAGACTAGTATTACTGAGAACGTTAAAACTTTCAAGTAAGGAAAATAATAATGAATCAAATCAATAGTATTGGAAAATCGTGCTACAGTTTTGTGCTTTGCAGTAGATCAGAAAGCTTCTTATTCTTAAACTGGATGCTGACAAAGGATTAAAAAAAGCATGGAATCGAAGAAATAAAGCTTAAATAAACAATTTTAAATAAACAATAAAAGTCCTATGAATTGCTTAAGAGGAACTATACCTCGTTAACTGGAAAGGTGGATAGACGGTACCGTCTTGAGTTTTGTAATGAGAAGTTGGTAAATCAGAAAATAAAATCTTCAGCGCTGTGCCCATCCCATGTGTCTGCAACTTCCCCCACAAACGGCATTTATCACAGCCAACACAATCCATAATCCGTGAAATGTTAAAAAAATGTTGACGAAATTCTTCACGCAGTTCCCGAGCCGTTGATTCAACACCCTATAAACAGGAAGTAACAATTTCTAAACGCAGTAGTAAAGTAAATTATGCATCTCAAGTTGTAGTAGGCAAGATTATTTTATACGTGTTTTGAATTAGTTGAATTAAACTAAAAACAACGTACGATGACTCAAAAACTCTGTGGATAGAAAGAACAGTCCAGGTTCTGATAACGTAGTTCCATTTTTCTCTAAAATTTCCATAAAGATATTTGAAACCTACTGTGAACATTTCTGTCTCGTCGAAAGGATTACTGAATTTTTTCAAAATATTCATCAATTCTTCCACTGTTTTGCGTGTTTCTGCATCGTCCTAGAACAAATCATTTTCAAACTCAAATTAATGAAGCCTCGTAAAATATCTTTGTTTACAACATCTTTCAGGAAAAGGAATCAAAATTTTCTTTTCAAAATCCAAAACAACCTTTGGATTCCCAGTATAAAATAATTCCTTGCGAAAATAAGGTGCTGCTTTTACTAGCGCCCTCAGTTCAAGAAGATATACGAAATAAATATTTTTCAGTCTTTGTGGTCCTTCAGGTGTCCATTTCGTCCCGAAACGATTTTTGAAAAGTTCCGTATTCCTGAACCAAATTCCATCTCCAAAGCCAGCAGGACCTAATGGGAATAAAATTAAGGAATTCCATCAATTAAAGTTCTCATCTAAACTGAACTGAAACCGTTATGTTTGCCTTACGAACTCTTCTCACCAGCATCGACATCACTGGAATATTGTTTGAGCAAGCGATCTTATCTCAATTAAATTCTTCGTTTTCCTTTATTTCCATGTTTTAATGGTAAGTTACATGCTAAATAAGTAACTGCCTCTTGGGGTATTTGAAAAGATATGTCTTATACATATCGTACAAAAAAAAGGAAAAAACAATGCTTGCTCCCAAAGTATAACAGTTTCCAGTAAACACTGTTACTATATTTTGCAAATGAAAGGTGAATGAAATAAATAAATACAACTTTTTCAAAGATCTGATATTTTAGAATTTTTAAAAATTTCACTTGGTTTGAAACTGTTAGAAGCGATCGATATAGTAATTGCAGAATGCAGACCCGAAATTAGACGATAGAAAACGCGTTTTTCAAAGCACATTCCTGTAAAAACCTTTGAAGAGTTTCACGCTAATAATAACAAACAGCAAATGGTTGGTTATTGCACATTTTTTAATTGGACAAAACAGTAGTTTGTATACTTAAAGAATTTCGAGTCTACATCTGCAACAGAAATATATGACACTTGCACTCACCAAAAGAATTAGGATGAATAAGGAAATTTTTGTCAAACTTCATATTTGGCCTGAAAAAATGTGCCAAATTTCAATTACTATGAAGTAAACAGTGAATGAATATAGCTGTTTCTATATCTCTTAGAGAAACATGTCTTTAATTTAAATTATTAGTTGATTATATATATATATATATATATATGAATGATCAGTTATACAAGTAACTTAAAACTAGATGCATCACTATCAGGAGAGAAAAAACTGCCCACTTCTCAGTAATCATCCCAACGTGCTGAATTATGATGCAAGCAGCAATAATGCAAATTACATCATTTTTCATCAACTAATAATATAAAACAGATTTATAATTACGAAATACGAATGTATTACAAAAAGTCGTGTCCCATTCGAAAATTCAATTTTTCGACTAACTTGAAACAATTTTCTTGGTAAATACAAGTCCAGACTTTCTGTGCGCTATCGCCTTTGTAACCCGTGTATCGTTCAGGATTTCTGGATAAGTCGACATAATGCATATCTGCTGATCCTTCATCTAAAACGAACGGACAAATATTTCCTTATCTGAATTATTTAGTACACAATTCCGGTGCTGGTAAAATTCTATCAATAATGAACAATCAAAGAATCTCTAACGCTCTACAATTGAAACGGAGGAACTCATTCAGCATATGATATTTCTAGAATGAAAATTTACATTTGTTCTTTCCAAATGTGAAAAATGGAAGAGCTTATGCAAGGATATTGGATTATCGAAAAAACTCTACTATGCACCTGAAGCGGAAAGTTTTTTTTAAAAGGACTTTTAAGTCTGACAACGCAAACCTTCGAAATCGCAAAATTTATCTTCATTTTCGTCGTGCCAGTCCATGTCATTCAGTTGTCGCCGGTCACCTTCCGTTAGAGTCGTATCCAACGGATCGAATGCATTACTTTCCTCTTTTTCGCAGGTTGAATCAATTCCACCAATCTGAGTAATAATAGAATCATTTTTCACAGAAGTTCGATTAAGCTCAGAACGAACCACAGATATGATGGCTGGTTGTTTCAAGCCTGATGGAACCTCGTCGTCACAATAGCCAATGCCGCATTCCTTGCTCAAGCACTGTCGATCGTCTGGCCAAAATGGACATGTCTTTTCCATATTAACCTAAAAAATAAAAATTTTAGGAAGTAGTATCAAAGGCTTTGAACATGAATGAGTCTCTCTCCAAAACGTAATCTTTGCACTTGATAATATGAATACAACCTTTATAAACATAAACAAATGCTTTCTAGCCAATAAAATCTAATCTACCTATATTTCTTTTATTTATTCTGTTTTTTTCTACCTTAACATCTTTCTTTTCCTTTCCGTTCGCATTTTAAAGAAAAAACATGATACTCAAAATGTAAATAGACGGCAACTCACTTTATAAAATCTGAAAAAATCTCGAGTTAGGAGCATCTGCAATATGGGAAAGACCTCATAGTTGTTGAAATCATCGATGCTCTCTGATGTACATCTGGAATGAGTTTAAATGAAGTGGCAGGAGAGGTCATCGATCACGATGAGATACAAATACATTTAAAAAATGAAAAAAAAATAAAAAAACTTAAGGTAGCTGCAAACAACTTTTTAAAATAATATTAAACTGCTAAATCTCTTTAACAATTATCATAAATGCAAACTGTCCATGCATGTTTTACACAATTTCAAGTTAACTAAAATGAATCCTTCCAATTCCTTCAGTTATTTGGTCGAGTGAATCTCAAAATAAACTAACCGGCAGTCATCGATGGCTCCTTGTAATTTGCAGAAGCATTCCCTGTTGGGCTCAAACTGCCCCCAAACTTCACATTCTAACACACATAACAGTAACAATACAAAAATAATTGCGAATACCACGAATGAACAAATCCGCTTCGTGACAATCATTTATCAGTGCTGGTGTTGAGTTGTCATTTAACTTCTGCACAGAAAATGGATATTACGCAGATCTCATCATCGGCTCTGTTAAGTGATGACGTGTGAAGCACATGGAGATGATAGGCGGAAAAGAAAACCACAGGTATTCTCAAAGGAAAAATTCTTATCTGACGAAACTGTCAAACCATGACATAAAAGAATGGAGAGAGGAGTATAGAGTGATACAAATCAATTAAAATAGTAATAGCGACGGGACCGAGGGAGAGAAAGAATGTAATATGATGAAAGAAATAATTGGGAGATGGAGAGAAAGAGAAATCGTGATAAGATCTATCCATCGAGAGCAACCGTAATGACCCAGTTTCGTCTGTATCGTAAAACCACGAATCATTCCAAAAAGTTCTTCCAATTCTGTCAATTTAAAACAAAAACCTACTCTACACTACCGCAGGATGGATTACAACTGGACCCTCTGCATCCGATGAACTAATTAACTAAAGAGGATCCGTCATGTACAATTAACGGATAAACATGTTTATCATTTCTCTTTATCATCTCTCCGTCTACTACTTCCTTTTCACATTGCTTCTCAGCACGTATAAAGATGACGCGTCCATTTCGGAATGGTAAGGTGAATGGATGGGGCGGTGCACTTCATACATGGGTGTGGGATGGTGGGTACACTGAGTGGTCACAGCTGCCAGGAAGTCCGATCCGAGAACGGTTCCAAGAAATTGGGACAGGTGCTCATCAAAACTCGGCCCGCAGAGTTCAGCTCATTATTGGGATAAGTATTGATCTAACAAACTTTTAGACTTCTAACGTTTGAGTGTTTTTCTTTTTTTTAAATCAAATTATGCTGAAACGAAACACACAGTGCAAATGAAAGGCAGAAAGGGATGAGGTTCGTCTAGCCAATGAAGAGTAGAAAGGACACGTCATCGAATATCGTTGACGTGTTGTAAGGTAAACAGAATGAAATTATTAATAACAGATACGTTCAGCCGCCAACTGGTCCAGTGACTGACAAGGATGCTAATGACGACAGATGGAGGGATATGGGAACAGAAAAGGGACTGACAGTATTTTCAAACAGTTGAATGTTTGGTTTGCCTCACTTTAGCTTGAATCAAATAAAATTAAAAAGGAACTTACGATGTTAGAGGAGAATTTGTACAACATGTCTTCCACCAGTTAAGTCTTAAATAAAAGAGAATTTTCAAGTCTAAAGGAAAACTAGTATCATTAATGAAAATGTGATTGGACATTTCCTAACCGGATAGCTAAATTTTTAGCCTATTTATAGGAACAATCTCCTCAACAATTGTTTTGACATCGCGCTGGATTTCTTTACATATTTTCGCCTTGCCCGTACTAATACTAACATAACTGGAATGTTATTTATCACCGTTCCATTCTTCTTCTATAAACTTCTCTAGTGTTCCATCCTGTACCGGATATTGTTCCATAGTGGATTAGAATGAAGAATCCTTTAAGACATGCGCAGTTAATCCATATTTCTGGCTCCTGGAGGATAATTATGATTCTGACTACAAAAATTTTTTTCTTTTTTTTGTAGATCATAAAATTACGCAATTATCGACATCTTGACTTATTAACATCCATTAAATAAAATTGTTACTTCTGCTTCTATGTCTTAAATGATTTGCTCTACTCTTAATCCCGGATGGGATATTTACAGAAGTTTTTTTAAACAGAACAATGAGATAAGATAGTGACAAATTTCTAAATGGATAGTAGTGAGTCTACAGTGCGAAATGCTGTATCATCTGCTAATACAACGTGTATATACAAACATTTTTTACAGAGCATCCTGCCATAGACTAACTATTCCTATCTGTCCACATTTTTTTCTTCATTTAAATTGAAGAATTTAGCTTCCCTAACAAAGAACTTCCCACAAAGCTAACTTTGGAAGCATTTACCATTGATAAAATTTTACCATTTATCATTGAAAAACTGTCACTGTTACCATTTTGATAGAAAAAAAATGAAACTTCGCTTGTATCAATTCCTATTAAGATCACCTAAACATTAAATTTACTTTTTATTCCTATACTACTTGAGCTTCTTTCCCTACTTTTGTAATCATACTTTTCTTCCAATTACTTAGTACTTTTGCAAATGAAAACTCTCTCGAAGAAAAAAGTCAAAAACAACGACTGAATAACAAGGAGAAAGGGAGAGAGACAACAGTTCCAACCTTTCTCCTTTCCTGGTCAATAAGGCCAAATCAAAGATAACTCCCAGTTTTGTTAGACGAAAACCAAATCAAAACAAAGCTGACCTAAGACGCCTGCAACCTGGAAACTGAAAATCTGTCCACAACTGTCACAAAAAGAAATTCCGATCTAATTTATAACAGTTTAGCAATGGACAATTATAATATTTAAAATCACAGGTCAAATAATGCATATGCAATATGAACAAGAACACACATGAAGAAACATGAAATCAAAAGAAAAGAAGAAAATAAAATTTATGAAGTCGACATCGAGAGATAACAAGAATTATGCATCGATAAAACTAAGCAAATTTCAAATGAAGTAAAAACATATGAGTGTAAAGAGGAATCGTGCACGATTTTCGATGCACCGTATTCTGCGCTTCTACACAAAAATGGAATCATTTAGATCGTCAAAAAGTGCTTGAAAAGTGAAATCTATGACAGTAAAATGTGTTTTATATCTAGTATAAAGAAGAAATACAGTTAATCTGTTTTGATTTAGAAAAACTTGAATTAGAAAAAAGTTAAAATGGCAGAAAGCAAAGAGGAAAAGTTTCAAGGTAAATAATAGTTTGGAATATATGAATGGATATAAGGGAAGAGTCAAAATTTTGCAAAAAACGAGTGTGTTTTGGAAATTTGATAGAAGGGACATTATAACAAAGCACAGGATAACCCGACAAAAGAAACCTGACTTCAAAAGCAATAACAAAATGTATTACCTGCGGAATCGGATAAATTGTTTTTAAATATATGTCAAACAAAAAGTTGTTTCCACAGTTGTACGATAAGTTGTACGATTCGTTTTCCTCAAGCAAAAAAACATACAATTACTAAGACTAACCTCCCACATAAGGTAGCACGATATTATGAGCTCAGAGAATTACCGTAGGAAAATCGAGGATGGATAAATGGATAAATCTCAAGGGAACAAGGATAACTGAGAATCATGATAAACGAACTTTTTCAAATGAACGGCCAACAGTTCGCCAGCAAAACCGATTGATATTACATCATTAAAATGAAGACTGATTACCAAGAGACATACGCTGAAACCAGGAAAGTCTGACAAATAGAACTAACGATGAGATGGTTATTTAGACGTCAATTTTGATTATAAACTGGAAAATCTGATGGTATTACGGACATGTGAGTTTAAATAGAGATTAGATAGACAAATAATACAATTATGCAATAAACGAGTGTGTTTTGGGAATTTGACAAAAAAATTTGACAAGTAGAAATTTTTTGACAAGTGAAAATTTTTTATTCCATTTTTGCTACTAGTTTAGCTAATCGATCTTTCATTATGGTGTAGTCTCTCAACATTAAAAATATTATTAACATAGAAGTTGTGGAACCTTCCAAATCTTCAGGAAATTAAAAAGAATATATCGAAATAAGTTCAACATGATGTCCTATGGATTCTTATACTATCAAACAAGTATTTTAGAAAATAATCAAGTACCAATAACATGAATTATATATAAAAATTCAAGTCGGCATGGTCAGCTCCTAAAACAACAAGATTTTTTTAATTTGTGATCATTAAGATCAGAATTACTAGTGCTGTCCAACTGTATTGATCTTACATTCCTCTCACCATTCTGACGTTCTAGTAAATGCTCTGCAACAGCAATAATTACTTTACGAATACCTTCACCATTCATTGCCGAAGTTTCGTGAAAAGCAGCACCAATTTGTTCGGCATATTGTGCTCCTTCATGACATTGCACCGCTCGAGCATTTTCTAGATCTAACTTATTGCCAACAACAAATAACGAAACAGGAACCGTCGAACCACGCTTCACTTCTACAAAAACAAAAAACTGCAAAAAAACATTGAAATGAATGATTATCAACTAAGGAGTAGAGAGCATTCAACATTTTCTTCTACAGTAAGTGATCTAAACCAGAAAAAAACTGTTTTTGAAATTCCCTATAGATTTGCTTCATATAAGTAAAACCATTCGGGGGTTATTGAGAGAGTTTGCTGCATATAAGATAATCTGGTAACCTAACCAATACAAAGCAAAATATCTTCCCAATTCACTTGAAACTCCTGAAACATATATTTGGTCTTATTTTTTAGCAATACCCAATTGATTCCATAGAAAAAAGATTTAATAAGCATTGGAAAAAATGAACTCACCATTAACCCACTTCTTGATCTCCTGAAATGATTCACGATCAGTTATGTCGTACACGATTACTGCTGCAACTGCATTACGTAGATACATTGGAAGCTAAAAAAATGATTAACAATTTTAAGTAACATCTGACCAACTATTTTATCTACTTTATAAAACTATCACTACAAAATAATCTTCCAAAACAACAGCATTTACCATGGAAGCATATCGTTCCTGCCCCGCTGTATCCCATATCTGCAATTCGACGCTTTTACCATCCAGGACTCTTTAAAAAGGATAAATTTTACATCAAATTTAAGGCTTAAAAACTTCAGCAGCAAATTTGAAAAAATTAGTTATTAGAATTAGTGATTCCCCATGCATATTTATCCGTCGCAGAAGATCGAAATTCGAGTGAGAAGTTAAATAATTTTACTTAAGATACATATTTCATTTCTGCTCTCCAATGAGTAGCCTACCATATCCCTATGATCAAACAAGTACTTGTAACGTCCCGTAAATTTTCAAACTCACATACAAAAATGATGTCCATTCCCAAATCAATTTTTATCAAGTGGTAGTTTGTACCACCAATAAAATTTTGTAACTTACAAAAACGAAGAAATGAAGCTAGCTCCTAGTGTCGGGCTGACTTTACTATAGAATCCTTGACCATCATGTCGAAGAATGATGCTCGTTTTTCCGACACCTAAGGAATTGAAGTAAGATTCTTATATAACAGAAAAACTGTAATAACAAATAAGCAGTAATTTTGCTAGAACAAAGATATACGGTAAAAACACAAAAATTTTTGAGTAAATAAGTGTTCGGTTTCGGCTGACTAATCCTTTCCGATAAAAATCAAACAATACTTTGTCTGCACATTAGCTTTATGGCAAAATATCACTACTCTTCAAATTAAAAATCAAGAAGAAGCGACAACTAAAGAAAAATCAGTATCTGTTCACTTACCACTTCTGCCAACGAAAATGATTTTAGCTCTGAGATCTGGTTTAGTAATTTGAGAAGGAAAAGCAGGCGACATCCAATTCAGATAAAGCGAACCAATAATTTGAGATTTTTTAATGTGAACATGAAAAAAAATAGTAAGTTTGTTTTCTGGACATCTGAATAAACCATCCAGCTGTTTAGGATATTTCTTCCATTTTACTTGAAGCTGACTACCATAACTAGCTGTCGGAAAAAATAAGAAAAAACACGGTTGATGTATCTGTTCATCAGTAATACAGTGTTTAACCTTTTTCAGTCTAACATGGAGAACAGGATAACGATATTGCGTCTAGAAAGAGTAGCTGCATAGAAGCATTAATCAGCTTTTCGAATGCAATTGCTTTTGCAGCTTTCGTAGATGACACTATGTAGCCTCACTTCCCTCCTAACACTTTCTGAACGTTTAGTTCGAAGTATTACCCATCCTTAGATTCCTTCCAAGAGTTTTCTTGAAATATAATGCATTGATGTCGAATTCTCCAGCAAGTAAACATTGTACCAGTGTGAAGACGAGAAGACACAAAAGCTAAGCCCCGACCCAAGATCGGGACAATCCCAAGCTTGCATATCTTAAGTACGACGAAAGGGAACTCTAGAAATCTGACATCTGTTCTTAAGAAATCATTAAAATACCAGTCTTTCTAACTTCCACTCTATTCATCCAAGATCAGTAGCCACCAGAATGGTGGGAGAAATGTAATCAACGACCCAATTCAAGAGAAACTATATTTTTATAAGGAATAAAATTTCACTTAAAATTCAACAATTTATGACTGGAACTACACGCGTAATAGTTATAATGCACGGAAAACCCTGTAAGATGCATGTCTGAAAGACCACATAGCAATCTGTTTCATTTTTGATACAAATGAAACATACAAACGTCTTTCAATTGTACAGCAAATCACAGCATCAAACAATTTTAAAAAATAGCAGGATCATTGTATGACATAAAGATTCATCTTCACAAATAATAAAAACAATATATATATATATTTGCAAATAATTTCCACACAAATTTTTACAAATAATTAAATGCCTCGCGCGTACTCCGTTTACGCAGAACCATGGCTTGATTTTTTATCCGAAGTTTCGAATGTTAAGCACAATCCAACTTTTATTTACAATTGGTCCTGCGTAACAAATCAACATAATGACTTAAGTATTTACAAGCGTAAAATAAATCACTAAGAGAAAAGAAAGACAACAGAAACGTGTATCTCTCGTTTTATGAAAATTCCTAATTGTGGTATGAAATAGAGATAAGAACTATACAGTTTCAGCATAAATACTTACAAAATAAATTTTAGCCGAAAAAAATTTGGTATGTAGCGATATAGAATGAAAACAATTTATTTCCTAATTACAGCATGTGAAAGCAATCTAAATATTACCAATACACCGAAAATAATGAAAGCATTATTTTGATTTTTAAAGTTCGGGAAATTGATTCAGTTTGCATAAAAAATTCACAAATTGTAACATTCCAAAACGTCATGATGAAACGCGAAGGGAGCATAAATAATGCTAACGCATCCATGGGCGGCTCTCATTACATCAAAAAGTTTTAAACGAATTTTAACAGATTAACGGTGTGACCGTTTTTTTTTTTTGCATAAAAAATAATTTGATATCATAAAGCTGAAAGAGACCTCGACTTTCTTAGCATGGATAGAAAAAATTAGCGTATATCCGATTTAGAGAAAAATCTGCCGCAGCCTTCAATTTTAGTTCCACCGAAAACTTTTAAAGACCAAAGTTCATTAAATTGACTCTTAAAAAAAAACAAAAAATGCAACCCTTTTTCAAATCCATACTATTATCTCATTTGATTTGAGCCAGATCAATTCCTGTCCCCAAAGATGAACTCTCCTGACCATATATTTCTGAAAGCATAAAAGAAGACAATAAATTTCGTAAGTCCAGTAGGCAAAGTAATAAAACAAATCCTGAAAATTCAAGTTTAGTTTTCTAAGACAAACTCTTTTGTTCCAAATATTTGTGAAACTATTTAAGTCGCCCTATGTTTATTCCTTCACTTCATTTCCCAGTTTTTCAATGGATCGAGTACTCGGCGACGGTGTTGAACGCAGTGGAATCTCATACTGGCCTGAAATGAAAACATTCATATGGCATAATATTTTTAAAGTTTTAATTTCAGAAAGATGTTTTGAAGATAGAAGATATAATATACGAAGACTGAAAAGATATTAATCCATATGACATTTAACAAGTTGAGAAAACAAGTTGCATCTAAAAAAAATTAATGGTCTCTTTGACTTTATTTTTTAAAGCAAAGCTAACAAAGGTATAAAGATATGGGGAAAAAAACTTTAAAAAACGCTGCCCACTAACTGTAATGATGAAGTCGAAAGTAATGCAAGAAGATGAAAGGATGGAAGAATGAAATGAAAAAAATAGGTGAGACGTCAAAACACAATAGTTTTTCTCTTCTGAAACTTATTAAAAGCGGCACTAACAATGCTTATCGCATGCGCAACAAGTTGTGAGTTTTTGGAAACAATTCTGTGACTATAGAAAATATAAAAGAATCAAAAAAAAGTGAAGAAAAGGCGTTCGATACATTAATCAGTAATGTAATTCATCTGTTCAAACTTTCATGATGATATCAATTAAAAATTGTTTAACAGTAAATACGAGGTCCACTCTTCCAGTCTTGATCACCTACTTGTATAACCTTTGAAAAAGTAAACTGCAAATATTACAATCTAATGCGCTTCACTTTTAGATACGGAAACATTAAAACCTACAGCTTCGGGTCACATTCGGGTCACACAGTAAACGAGCACGTACTGGAAGTTGGAAATACATGCAAATGATATGTGAATCAACTTTTTAATCCCTATTTTTAAAAAGGATATGAATCATTACATTATTTCTCCTAAATAAGAAAAAAAATGAAGAATAATAGTGCACTTTGTTAATAAAGCAAAAAATAAATAATAAATAGCACTGGAACAAATTTTGATTTTCAATAAAACTCCATACCTGGCGGTACAGCGTAATCCAAAGTTGCATATTCATCTGAAAAGCAAGATGTATAATAAATTTCTCAAGTAATGTTTAAAGACAGCTGAGAGCCACTTTTAATTTGAGATGAAACATATTAAAAACAGAGGACAAGCTTAGTTTTCCCTACCCTTCACGCCATGTAGAAACTTCACTATAAAAGAGTAATATGTACCTGTAACTGAAGGACTTCTTAGCTGTGCACTCTTAGCGATTGGTACTGGTTCATCCGCGATGACTTTTATCGGTACTGCTTCAATCGCTGATCTACGGTACATTGGATTGTTGAATTCTCGTGTTTCAATTTCATTATTGGTTAAAAGTTCTTTGACGTTTGGATAATAACTGAAAATCGAAGAAAATTCAAACTGACAAACTCGACATAAGGTCTATAAATTTAAATTTATAAACGAGGAGGACTCTTTTTTAGATTATCCCTAATGCAAGAAATCAAAAAAACTTGCGTAAGAGTTGGAAGATCAGGATCTTTCTCCTTCCTATATTTTCTTCGATAGAAGATTGTTCCAAATGATAGCAAAACAACAGCCAACAATGATGCTAGCAGGACGGGAAACACCCAACTGCTACTTTCAGCATATTCCTTCACTGCAGCACTTTCTGTAAATAATTTCTATATGTTTCAACAGTGCTTATTTTAAAACTAAATGTGAACGTTATTGATATATTTCCAAAACATACCAGTTTATATGGATAATCTGTACCAATTCTACTTTTCTGGCTCCAACTTTTTTTGTGTTTGCTAAGCATAAAGTTATAAAAAAAAGTTCGGATAACACATAATAAAATGTGAACTGAAAGTTGGAATTCTATGTTATTCATGAATCACGAATTGACGATTTACAAAACTTACGCATAATACGGCATGGTCTTATGAGCAGATCGCAGCATCCAATTACATTATCACACATTTCATTTTCCGAACAGTTACAACGTAAACTGCAGTTATTGCCATAATAACCTTCCCAGCAAACTATAAACATCGAGAATTCAAAAGGTCATTGTATTAAAGAAATTTGTGCATAAAGCCTATTTCATTACATCATACTCCATAATTTAATGATCGAAAGATGATTTTAAATCCTAGAGAACCGCTGCTCATTCAAATATATTTGAACAGAGAACAAGTTGACACAAAGTTTTTTCCAGTCAAGTCCCAAAAACCCAATACTCAAATTCTTGTATCTTTGATACGGAAATTTTAGAAAACTTTGATAATCCGTCTCAGAGGAAAATCATTTCCACACATTTTTATGCAAAAAAAAGCAAAATGAAACTAATCTAATAGGTCGTCAACACCACGGTAAACTAAACTTGCCGTTTGAAAGTTCAAAACGTACAAAACTACCTTACCTTCGCAGGTTTCCTGTTGTGTTTCGTAGTATCCAGAACAGCATTTATAGACAATTACCTTCTTTTTCATTGGTAATGCCTTATATGAGAGCTTTGTTCCATTACTGAAGAACATTGATTTCATACAGAAACTACAATTTTGGTAACTGATTTGTCCTGATTTCCTTTATTAACGCTTCTTTCAGTACTTAAGATTTAGGAACCACATATTAAATGCTAAGATTTTTAGTATATTATTAAAATCTTCAGTATACTATTTATATTTAGTATACTATTTTAGTAAACTATTAGTATACTATTTTTAGTATACTTACTAATGGATCATTAAACAAAATATTGTTTTTTAAAGTTAATCATTTTCAGGTGAAAAATATATAGTCGAAGATTACGTATCGTTACAAGTACTTATGACCACATGCTTCCAGCCACAAATACTGCCAACGCTCAGCTTTTAGGCACGATGATAATTGGAGTCTATCATTTCACGAACAATTTCTTGCTGATGATAATATTTGTCATCAGCAAAAGACCATATAATTAGAATTCCATATACAAAAAGACTCGAATCAAAGAAAAAATTCAGACTTACGTCTTCACTTTACAACGGAATCCCTGTGAGACATCCCAGCAAGCTTGAGTAGTATGCAACACAACAGTTTGTTCGTGTTTCTGCAAGCTCAGTTCTTCAGCCCTAGAAAATTAAAAATCTTGAATTAATAAAATACTTGAAAATTAAGTTTAAATGATTCAATCTATTATCATCATTTACATTGTGATGAATCCAAAAGAATGACATCAAATTATATCCAGTTAACAGATCTTGCTGAAAATGATATCTATACACTAAAACCCAGTTATGTACAGAATCTAATCAAGAGTATTAATAACAGTTTTGCATAAACGGCATAGTTCAAGATAGTTCCATCTCACGTTTTGGTGAGTTCATATCGAGATACTGTGAGGAAGGGAACCAGTTTAGTTAAGCAGCATTTAAACTCCTAAAAACTTAAAATGAAGCAATGTTTTCTTTTCTCTTCATTATTAAATAGTATGCAGTAATAATAAGCAAAAGTACTTTTCCAATGGTCGTAATTTGCGGAAAGTTCCTGACTGTTTGAAGGATATCTAAGAACAAAAATGCTATCCTTATCTTTTCGCTTTGTACATTTAATCCAAATCTTTCAGTTTAGCAATATGATAAGCGTTCTTATCAAACTGAGATTTACTTCTTGTCAATCGAATGAGTGTTGGTATAACTTGAAGTAGACTAGAAAAGTGAGAGGTTTGTATATAAATTATATCCAATTTTGAATCATTTCTAACGATCACACCAATATCATCCAGTAAATGCAAGATAAGTCAAAGGATTTTGGATGATAACGACATGGCATTTGTTGTATGATTTAGAATCATTTCTAACGTTCACACCAATGTAGGAAAGAGAGTAATACACAAAAAGATCAGAACAGCGAAACTGATTATGAATTGTTCTAGTGGAACCTTGAATAAATAATGTGATGGAAGAATTGAACCAATTACAAATAGTAATGATCTAAAATACTAAGCAATAATGAATTCAATGAATTTAAATATTTTTAGGAAAATGTCACAACCGATGCATAGAACAATCAAACCAAAATAAGATGTTTTCCTTTGAATTTTCTGTTAAATGTTATTAAACACCTTACTATCGTTAGTGTAAAATTTTTCCGTATCTAAGGGCTTATGTCATGAGCTATTAAAATGCGAAATAAGTCTGGCATATCACCCACATCATTCTTCATTAAACACCAACTGCTAAGATAATGGAATACAATGAAAAGTAATATGAAAGCACGTCAGTAAGAAACATTAAGATAGGCACGGCGCAAAGCCACTATTATGAAACGAAATAAAACATTAAATACTTAAATTAGATATAAAATTCAAGCTCCAAGCGCAAAAAGAAATGGGAAATGTATTTTGCTTTTGTCAAACACAACCTTACTCTATATTTTTTGTAAGGTTTTATTTCAAGTGGCTTTTATTAAATAGTAGCTCATATTCACTATAGGCTCAATTCAAATCAAAGCTTCTTTTGCCGAATTTAATCTTCACACATCAATTTCAAATGATGTTTCGAATTTGTGTCAACATTCAGAAAGATTACAAAAAGAAGGTATAAAAGGCACATAGCAGGTCCACTCGAATCTTCAGAAAATAAAATACTAAAACGTTTCATTGGCAATCTTATGCCCTAAATTCACAAATAACTTTGGATAACTGCTTTTATCCGTACTCGTTTCAACGACAATCAATTTCATTTTTTTAAATATTTTAAAACATCTAGAAGTGTGAGAAAGTACATACTCTTCTTCTACTGGGCACACGTTTTCTGCATTCATCAGAGCACATTCCACAGAAGGCCTATTAATTAAGTATAAAATAAGGGTCGCTGTAGAAACTAATGCAGTGGTTGTCGTCTTCATCTGAAATGAAGTGTTGATATAATCAGTATTATGTACACTTAGTCCACATATGAACATCATTATTATCACATTACTAGCGGCAAACAATAAGTTAGAATGGAGTTACATTCAACTATCAAGTTGCATTGCACCGTTCATAAATAACGAATTCCCACAATAATCCTTCTTTTGCCTTGTAAAATGCGATAGAAGTGCAAGTCATGAACTACGTGGATAAAACTAATAATGCCAATATACGTAGATAAAACCAGTACATTTCCCACATGAACAAAAATCGATAACCACTGTGTAAATTAGTTTAAGGTTCTAAAACCTTTCACTGGTATAATGCTAAACTGTCAAGCAAATGAGAATCTATTATTAAGAGGGATTGGAAGTACGAGCCTTACAAAAATAATGAGGCCTGCCATCATTATAGTGCAAGCAGTAATGAAATTTGTGTAAATAAGTCGAAAAGTTTTCAATATAATGCAAAGTTCGAATCAAAAAAATTGTTAAGAGATCAGCAACATTTCTCAAGAAGAAAAGGAGTTAATCTATTTCTCATTAACAACTATGAGTTAAAAATGAGAAAAAAGTATGGATTATTTTATGTCTTAACTAACATTTCATGTATTTTAACTTATTTGAAGATGAGAAAAGATGTTTATGCCCTTTTTGATTGCAACAACAGGCTGGTCGTCACTATGGAATCTAAAGCGACTGATTTCTATTTTGTCTCGTTGATCAATTGATGACACATCCTCAGTAGTACCCTTTTTACCTGTTTACCCTCCAAATTGAGAGAGTGCATGGAAGAGACGGGGAGAGAGTTGTATAGTGGGAAGAGAGCCACCGAAATGGTGATGTAGGGAACAAAGCCATACAATTACGGACGACACTTCACGAAGATACTAAATATGATACTAAATATTCATAAGATTTCTTGTAACCTGTACTGGGCAGTACCTGATCTTTGTGTAGTGAGCTCTGCGACGAGCTCAACCGGTGCAGCCCTGTACTTTGTGACCAACTGATGTCATCTTTCGTTCCCCTAAACTGAATTCTCACAGTAATTAAGAAACATTTAAAATTACTTGATGGGAATCTTCTGGATAACAAGTACTTACCTACAGCAAAGACGTGTTACGTAGACAGCAACGACACGTTATATGGGGTCGCACGTCAAGTCACACATGGATACATGCCAAATAGTGAGATGACCCAAGACCTGCGCAAGGTTTGTCCATCTCTTGGTTATTCAAGAATGCTACACTGAGGAAATACTTCACAATTATTCTCAATCTCTGCCACAATGGTTATTCGTAGTTATCTATCTTCCATCTCCGTTAGCATGATATCTTACAAATCTCGCTATTCCCTATTTCCCACTGAATTGCTATGCTATTTACCTTAATGATCAGTCTTTAGTCTTTACTTCTCGGGACTCAATAAGCTTTTCTCTGGCTTAGCCTAGAAGGACTACCGAGTAGTGAACTGTGTGTTAAACAGGCATTTATCCTTTTATCATTTACCAAAAGGAGAGGAGATTTCATTTTGAGACTTGGAATGGATGGGAGATGAAAATGCTTATCATTAGAGAAGATATCAAATAGCAAGCATGCTGATATGAATGTTAAGATATTTCTTTGAGCAAATTTGGAGAAAAAATATCAAGTAGTTTCCTCATTGTCAGTAATAAGAATCCGAGCTTATTTATTGAGTATGAAGAGAAATAGGAAAGTGCAATGATCTTTAGTTAATTTGAATAACAAAAAAATGGATTATTATATTAGCAAACAATGCTTGTTAGTTAAATAAGTTTGTTAGGTGAATAAGACCTTGTAAGCAGAATTAGAGGGGATGTGTTAGAAAGAGTGGTGCCGACACAGCTTATCTAAGGATGCTTATAATTAGGTCCACAATTATCAATGAAATCTTTTTCACACTTTTCATCATCGATTGATAAATTAATAAGGCATCGGGTTAGTCATAAGTTCACTAAAAAATTACCCTTTGGTTTTTGCACTTAAAGGTGTCTAAATGATTCTTTGGAAGATTTTGACCAAGAATAGAATGAAACAGATAAATCGGAGGAAGTGCATAACCATAACAGGTATAAATCTGTTCAGCTTGTTGATAAAACCTATAGGGAGCAAATGTTGGCATACATCTTGCATAGGTCACTACGAGTACCCTCCTGTACAAAGGTCACATCAATAACTCGGGGAAAGGAAGAGCTGATGATAAAGGATGGTAAAAGACAAGATGACAGGGTGACCTAGCCATCGCAAAACAATTTGTTTTCTGAACGGCATTTATACTACAAAGTTTGCTCATTTTATGTTTTTCTATGCTGAAAACGATTATTTCAGCAAGGAGTTAATAAATTGTCGGACCTTACGAAATATCGGAAATGTAAACCGTCAATATACTCGCTTCACTCAAACGTTCAGCTTTTTGTTTACTTTTGATAAGGCTAAATGTAAGCAGTTAACGCTGATAATGTTCCCTCTCTACTCTTCATCATTCTGTTGATAACTTGATAATACTTGAAGCATGAATATGTTGTTCATTTTCATGTACAGATTTGTGATGATGCAAGCGGTTGGTAAAGGTCATTTTCAAGATTTGTTCTATTTGCACCTCAAATAAGTCTCGTAAACCAGCGATAATTATTCCATAATTGCAATTGTTGAAATTTGCTAACTGAAATTTTTTACAATTCCGAAATAGATAAAGTTGACTGGAACAAGTTTGAAGAGAAATTTAAGTGGAGTGGAGAGAATTTGTGAAAAAAAAACAAATTTTATTTGCTGAGTCATGCTACAGAGACTAATTTTCATTGCTGTAGTTGATGAAAAATATTTGGCACCTTTCTGAATTAATTTGCTAATTATTGAGCATAGAATTAAAGAAGGAGAAGGATGGGGGAAGGAGAGAGAGAGAGAGTATAGAAATGGAATAAAATAAGAAATGGAATAAAATAAGATTAAAAATTTCACGAGGAAATCAATGAAATCATGAAAAAAATACAGTAAAATAATCATGCAATGTTCCTAGCTGGCATTTCAAAATTATTTCAGACATATTAGTCAGCGATGCAGAAAGCGCCGAAATTTGTCTTGAATGAAAATCGATAGCATTTTTTTTGTTAATGTCCAAGTTGGAAACGAAAACAAAAACGCAATAGCGCGCTGTTTGGGGCTTAATGAATGAAGCGAATGCTAATTCTGTAATTACTGACAAGAATAACTACATTTGACCTTTGAAATGGTTTAAATTTTCGAAATCACTTGAGATATGACGTGCAGTTGTGTTGAAAATGTATAAGAAGGAGCAATTGACCCTTCATCTGACCTTTATCCTACTTCGTTCATGTTGAAGAAAAGATTACCAGAGAAATGAGAAAATGAGAAGGGAAGAGAGAAGGAGGTCGAAAATTAGTCATCAGTAGACCTAGAATATTGGATGGGAATGGAATAAAGTGTAAGGAGGAGGAAGGTAATGTGAAAAGCAGCAATTGACCGAATCAAAATGAGGGAGTTTTTTTTTATGGGCGCCGAAATAGTTGAAGAATTCAGAAATTGAAAAATCAAAATGATACCAGTTATTAGTTATAGGCAAATTTTAAAGAACACTGATTGTCGAGGAGTTGGAAAACCTGATTACTGTACCAAGGAAATCAGAGACATGAGACTAGGAGTCCAGTAGGTTTTGCTAATCAAAGTAATAAGGGCAAGAAGCCAAGAGCTTATAATGTACAAGGAGTTGGCCAATTTAAAATAAAATTTACAGGAAATTGGCTCATAAGTGCTGCATTTAAGACAATAATGTATCGAACCAAATTTCCTTAAAAAGTTCTTTTGCAAAGAATATTTGTTTGTTTGCTATTCTCGTTTAATCGAAACCAATTCTAGAACAACCCATGGGAACTCAAAGTTCATGAAGAGAAAATCGAAATGGCTTTACAATCAGACTTCCTTCATTCTATTCAAGCTATTCTAGCTGATATTTGATAAAAGACATACACTTTTTTCATGTTTTCAATAAACTTCTGACTTCAAACAATTTTTGAATTTTCCCCTCCAAAAAATCTTCTCTTTTCTTGATCGATTAAAACTGAACTAAATGTGCCATATGCGGAATTCTTAGCCTTATATATGAATTTTTCGTAAAAGAACATTAAAAGATCGGGAATCTCTTATTTTACCTAACTTATTCTCGTCACCTTATGAATTTTTATGATTCATCCGAAATATAATACTGTTATAAAAGTTTTCCGGGTGTCAATGAATGATAAATGTATTGAACATTACCGAAAGAATGCACTCTGACATTAAAGTCATCGCTTACTAAGTTAAAAACACACCACAAATCACAATTAATTTCCATCAAATTTGCTTGCTCATTCATTAATAAGATGGGTTTATTCAGAGACTCCAACTATTTTTTTCTTTTTTTTTGTTTGAAATCGTTTGAAGTATGATTCAGTTATTATTTACCGTAGAATGCTTTAAATTCAAAGTGACTTGAAAGGTATAGACGGGCTATTTATTTGTTAGAGATTAGATTTAAGCATATTAGAGACTTGTGTAAATATCAGTCCTCTAAATTGGTCTATGAATGTCAATCATTTGTCATCCTTTGGCATATTGAGAAGTACAGGACAACTTGCATATTTCATAAAAAATGGTGATAAACTGAAAATAGATTTTTGACGGATGATTTAGTTGACGAAAGATGCTTAGTTATCTACCTGGTCCATATTGGAAAAGTTGAAATGAAATAAATTAGTGGACGCGAAAAGTTAATGCAAAAAAAAAAAGAAAAAAAAAGCGAAACGAGGAGGAGAGACAAGGTTTATGTGTGAATCTTTTCGATCTACAAATAAATTACACAAATATTTACAGATATGTTAGCAGCATTCTTCATAGAAATTTGAATCTGAGGAAGAGAGCATTATCGATTGATTTCGAACTTTTAATAAATATTTAGAACAAACGAACATCCATTCAAGCAATGTCTATTTGATGATTCATCAGAAACAAACAGTAAAAGAGAGAATAAAGGAGATAATAATTAAATTTCAAATAATCTTACTGCTCTACAAAAGGATTAAGACTCAATCTACTTAGTAAAGTGTAAATTGAATAAGATGCTAATCGGCTTATTGATTGATAAACTTACAATTTAGGAGAAGCTTAGTTAGTTCACAAAACCCGCTAACAGTTGGAACTCCGAGTTTCAGTGACGGAAATACTTGCGATTGATTGAGCTGATGCTTCATTCTCCCAGTGAAGCCGATGTGTGACGTAGAATTGTATTTAAGTTTAAAATGCTTATTATCTTTGGGCAAATATTCCATCCTAAACATTTGGAAGTAATATTGATCTTCAATTTCATCTTATTACATAAAACTAACGACGGATTTGTATTGCAGTAGTTTGATTTTTAAAAAACATTCAAAAATTAAGCTAACAAAAAATACAAACTTTTATTAACCGAAATTTTTCGTGCTTTTTGTAAATCTTAATTTTTTGGTTTTATAATGACTTTCTAAAATTTGCTAAACAAATACTTTTGAAAGTGAAATAAATTTCAATCATAAATGTTTAATTTTTGCTTCCTTCATAGGAAATATTATGAAAAGTAAAAAAGAGTAAAGTGATTTTCAATAGAAGGAAATCGATTTCTCCTGCTGATACTATGTCTATTCCTGAAATGTTGCATAGGAAGAATAGTTTAACGGAAATCGTTCATTTTATTCCGAAAATATATTGTATAAACAGAAGAGAAAATTTTCTGAAGACGAGAATAGAGTCAAATGATTGTGATGTAAATAGATCCGGTTGAGTCCAGTTGATCTCTGTACTCTATGACAAAAAGATTAGCATGTTAAGACACGCATGAATTTTCCGCAGTAGACTTCAAAGGTGACACATTACATTGTAAACTAAAGAATTCAATCATTTCTTGAATTCTTTAGCGTGGAAAAGGGTTGTTCGAAAAGCCGAATATGACAAACGAAATCAGTTGCTCAGATGAGTGCCAACCTTCTCTCACTTCATTCCTGGCTGATGATCGTCCTCAGTAAATTCTCATTGTATCAGCCAATATCATCTTTAGGTTAAAATATTCAAATTCCCTTCTCCTTGAAATCTAATGAGATTACATGATTTTCGAGTGATTTTATCGTGTGACATGACAGCCTTATCGATTAAATGATTGGTAAATTGTCACAGCGATTTTGTCAACCGTTCCATACATTTCATTTGGCTAGAAAAAATCTAGAAAAAAGTTTCTTTCATTGTGGGAAACTATCAATATTCAGAATTTCCACAAGCATTGATTCAAGAGTCTATAAATTCGAATACTCCAAACTGATTTTTATCATCTAAAAACACTAACTGACTGATAAGTACAAATAAGAAATTAAAAGTAACAGATAAGCAGTAAACTGCTGGTTTACTACTTATGCAAATCGATTCATTAAAATTTTATTTCACTCCAAAGGATCATACATTAATCCGGTAGTAATTAAATTTCCGGTTCTATGAAAATAACGAAATAAAGCGCAAACTGTACAAGCTTTTAGCCGACTGAGTGAATGAGGTATATTATTTATTTAAACTATAAAGATAATCAATTTGGTATGATCGAAATTAAAAAAAAGATTGTTATGACAAGTAAAGACAAAAGCTCTCTCTGCATAGCACTTAGCTCTCTATTCTGCTTTCATAGATGGGAAGTTCTTAATTAAGTGAATGAGCTATCAAAAAGGTGAAAGGTCGGAAGTGAGAGATAAAATGCAAAATAAATTCAGGATGGATGGCGATAGCATTATTTTGAGTCAATAGCACTGCTGGTGCATTAAAAATCCTTTGCAGTATAATCTTTATTTGCTGTAGTGAAATGGAACAGAGACCAGAAACTATCATTTTTTTCTAACTAATTCAAGTTGTATCTCGTAAATATAAATTTTGTAGTATTGTCACACTCAAAACCAATCGATCAACTTACTTTTGTCTTCTTTGATTTAAAATATAATTAATGGGAGACAAGAAATTGTTACTAAAATTTTTAATATCACACTTTTCCTGAATTCAAGAGCATGACTTTTTAAGATTAGATGCATTTCTGTTTTAGCAGAAATGTCAATTTCGAATATCATTGAAAATAAAAAATGTTAAACTTCATTTGTTGGATTTTTGGAGACAACAGAACATGAAAATATCTGGATTAATTTCAACCTATATTCGCATTGTCACATACTAGCTTTGTTTTCAGTATATCATCGATTTTACCATGGTATTTGATTTCTCAAAAAGATAATTCAGGTTTGTTGGTATCATTAGTTTATATTAAACAGTTTTTGAGAATAAACTAATTAAAAAGCTTGCCGTTAGTTACTGTGGCGCTGTTAGGTGCTTACTGTGGTGGTGTAAGCATTATTGCCAGTTTTTGCCTGCAGTAATTCATTCGATAGCATACTGTATAGTTATTGAGAGGAAAACAAATGATAGATTCAAATGATAACATACATACTCGTTACATATTCCATTTCTGGATGAGAAATAGATGTTCTACCAAATCTTAAAATTATCTATGATTGAAAAAAGTCAAAACAAGAACAATACATTATCATTTATTTTTCTTCATTTTCAGAAGAGAATTACTGCGGTGATTGTGTGGCATGCAATTCCATTGAAATATACAATACATGCGATTGCGGAGCCCTTCAATCTATTTGATGAATATTGATCTTCTCAATAACTGAACATGTTGTTTGTCGTTTGGCATAGAGAACAATGTGAAACTGGCTTAGACAGGGAACAGTTTCTGAAGATTATTAGTTAATCTTTAAAAATTGCAGTTGTCAACTTAGAGATTTAAAAAAATTTAAAAAATTGATAGAAAAGTAGGTAGAATAAATAGGGTGATTGCATTTAAGATCATCGACAACTTCCACACACTGTCAAACAAATGTCATACAATCGTTGGATTAATATTATTTAGAAGTTTAATTTGAAATTTCGACGACAACAAAAGGATCGCATTTTCAAAAAGCGTTTCAAAAGTAGAAGAGAAATAAAAATGAAAAGAGAGCTTCCTTGGAGAGTTGCATGGTTCACTGGAGAGCATTGACAGTTTCATAAGTTTTAATGCTTATCGCTGCCCCGCAACCGTGATACATATGCTAACTGCCGATAATACTTTTTTTTATTTGGTCGAGCAGAGTTCCGACTTCCACATACATACATACATACATATACACACATAAACATATACGCACACACACACACACACACACACACATACATACATACACGAAAAACAGTATAGGAAGATTCAGTGAAGTTTGCTTTATCAAAGGTGTCAAACTTGAAAAAGCGCCTTGGACAGAAAAAATAGCTGCACCCATCGGTCACATACAGGAAGGTTGAAAATAATAAAATTGATTGCTTTAAAAAGACCAAATTTGTGTAATATCATGCCTTAGTAGAATCATATTGAATCCATATCTTTACTTACTGGTACCTGTTTAATATGTGCTGATGGCGCATATGGCCAACCCTACTGAAACAGATACAAAACTAGTTCTGCCATTGAAGTAAGATTACGGTGTAGGAATGGGAGAATAAAATGTGCAATCAAAATATTCTCACACAAATCAGCAACAATGATTATATTATTATCAATAAATTCATTGCAAAACAATTCAACCATTGGGTATTTGTAATGATAATTTGCGGTCTTAGAATAATATAAAAAACATGGGGTTTTTTGTCAAAACAAAGCAAGGTGCAGAACCACGATCTCTGAGAATTCTCGGGAGAAAGCAATTGACAAAATATGCGAAACAGTACAGTTTTATTTTAAGATAACAGTACAGTAGCAACAAAGCTTTACAGTAGTACTTTAAAAATGAGAATTGAAAAATTCATATTATGCAGGAAGCAGCAGTATTAATTTTCAAAAAATATAAAATTCGCCATTTATTTTGGAACAACCATTTGATGTTGAAAATAATGCAGAAAGTGAACAACAGTGAAACTAAGAACTGAGCAAGCGATATGACTATAACATCAGTAAAAAGCCTGAAAATTTAAATTCAACATTTCCTGTTCAACGCTTATTTATTCTGCTCGTACTGTTTGGTATTTCATAGTCATAAGCACCTGAAGTAAAACAAATGGATCAAGCATTAAAAGAGATAATGAAATTTGGTTTCTATTTTTCAAATTGAATTTCGAGGAGAAAAAATAAGGTGCATTTAGTGAGGGATATACTCAAGCTAAAAAGAATCAGCTGTAGAACTTACGTTTTACGGAATTACCGGAATTCTTTTCATTATCGACTGATGAATCAATTTCTGCATAGATATCGTCAAACTTGGTGTAATCATCTGAATAAATGAGGAAAAATGAATATCATATGCTTCGACAGATGCTTAAAATACGTAAAACAGAAGAAGTGAGAGAAAAGCTATGCTGCTTAATAACAAACACAGTTTCACCAAGACCAATCAATGAGTGCAGGGAACTAGGCCATCCTAATTTTCTACAATCCTAATTGAGTCAGCATTTCCAATCATTTAAATAATCCAAATTCAAATGTTATACTTTGAAGTCGATCGGATCGTTCCTTATTCATCAGATGCTCTAATTTATTATCCCTCCCTTCAAGTTGACAATTCGTTGCGGCTCCCACAGTTTTTCTATAAAGCGGATTGTTGAATTCATTCTTTGTTGAGGTCGCTTCGCCATTTACTACCGTCGGATGATATCTGAAACCATAAATTAATTGCTTTGTTTTTTTTGAAGTGATTTCCATATATAACGTATTGAAGTGTACCTGAGATGCGATTATTTCAATTACACTAAAACAATCTTAGCAAATCTGGTTAAATAAGTGATCTATTGGAGATATGAATTTTATGTACAGAGTTAAATAATTAATGAGCATGTATATTAACACTTTTCCGGTTCTAATTCCTTTTTCCAGTGGGTGTTAATTTATGAAACAGAATTTATGAGAAAGAGAACGAAAGGATAACATGGGAGGATAGCAGGAAGAAAATCACAAACTCGCTGAGAATTATGACAAAAATATCCGGGTATATACATATATATAATATATATGCTAGCACTTTTTTAGTTATTTCAACGTTTCATTTATTTATTTATTTTTTGAATGACAGAAATAATAGTTGATAAATTAGCTAACTTACGTGATAGTCGGAACGACAGGATCACGTTCTCTCATATATTTTCGTCGATAGTAGACAACAAGAATTGAGAGAGCAGTAGTTATCACAATCAGAATACTAGCAACTGACGTAACCGTTGCTACTACAGTGCGATCTTTCGATAGATGATACTTCAGTTCTTAATTTTTGTTAAGAAATAATAAATGAAAGTGGAACAATATATTTTATGTCATAGCAATGGCAAGGTCATCAAGAGTTTGAAACGTTTTGTCCTTTAATGTAAATTTTGGTGAATAAAAGAAAAGGGCAAAGGCAAAGGTTAAGATGAAATAGTGGTTTGCTAGATTCGTTAGGATTTTCATTTGTGATTCAATTCTAAACGTTTATTATGCTGGATGACCTTGCCATGATATCCAAATTAGAAGGAACTTACTTTTACCACGGTTTTAGCTAGCATTTTAAGAGATTTACTCTCGCCACTCTGCAAACAAAACACCCAGCTTTTCTCACTCCTTTCCTAATTCTTTTGCTCCGTCCTTTTCACATTTCTGGCGTATCTCTATTAAAGAGTGGAAAAAAACTTCATACTGGTAGGATCACAAAAGACATCGTTCTTGTTGCAACAACCGATCACCGGGTTGCAGATATCTTGACCACAGTCACAAACATTCGCACACTGTTCCCCCCAGAAACCTTCAGGACAGGCTGCAAAAGATAACTGTTAAATAACAACTGCGTAATCATTAGGTAATTTTTCCTACAGTTTAAAAAAAAAAAACTCACTTTAAAAAGATGCACTTAAAACTGGACATATTTATATATCTATAAGCATATATCTGATGAATAAAAGATCTCCAAAGTTTTTAAAATTTACCTTGATCACATTTGGGTCCGGTGAAACCTGGATGACAAACACAATCACCCGTTGTTGCTTGGCATTTCGAGTTTTCCATTTCACAGAAACATCGGAAAACACAATCTGGGCCCCACAAACCTTCAGGACAATACTGATTGCACAAATCACCCATAAGACCTGCAGAAATGCTATATGTCAAATTTTAAACAACTCGAAATCTTCATCAATTATTTAAAAGAAAATTACCAGCGGCACAATGACAAATACCAGTAACTGGATTACATAATTTGCGATCACTTTCACATCTGCATTCGTTCAGGCAATCCGCACCCCATTGATCCATCCCACATGCTGCAAAATATGATAGTAAAAATTAAATTTGATTTTAAATACAAACCGAAAATGTCTCGGGTAATAAGTATGCAATGTACATGTAATATTAACCGAAGTTCTACAATAATCTAAATTACAGTAGCATACACAGCAGTAATAGAAAGACTACAAGTATATCAAGCAGTCCTGGAGCACCACTTCAATCTCTCGATAGTTAGATTCAAACAGGGAAATTACACATCATTTTAAGAATCCTTTAAAAGTAGATATACAGAAAGAGAAAACTAACGTAATTCACACTTTTCTCCCATGTAACCGGGCGCACAATGACATTCACCATCTACCGGATCACATTGACCATTATTCTTGCATTGGTTGCATGTTTGAGAGCAATTCATACCCCATTTACCGACCGGGCATTCTGTAATACGTTTCTCGAATCAAATACGGTAAAATCTGATAATAATTGTAGGATACCATTTCGCTGCGGATATAACGATATGAAATTGACGGCAATTCAGGAGCATACGCTGAACTTTATGAATCATCCATGAGGAGTTTCTTTTTAAGCTCAAAATTTCATAGAATGCTAAAGCTTAGCTGGGAAAAAGTAGTCCTTTTGACCAGTAATATGACAGAAGTAAACCCGGATACCTCGATCACATTTCGCACCGGTAAAACCGTTGTAACATTGGCAGCTACCATCGATGCTAACGCATTCGCCATTTTTCGCGCAATCGCAATGATTCATACACTTTTCACCCCATGTTTCAAACGGACAACTCTGCTCACAAATCACACCACTTCGTCCAGCAGGACATCGCAAACATTCACCAGTAAGTGGATTACATCCATGATCACAGATGCACTTTTGCGCACATTTCTCTCCGTAGGTACCAAAAGGACATTCTAAAAATTGATGACCGAAAATAACAAAATAGGAAAATACTCGGAATTTCAAATTGATAAGCCAAATGCAATTGACAAACAGTGGTAGGATCATATAGGTTTACAGCTTTTGAATTGCAGAATGAATCGAAGTGAATGATATGGGCAGGAACATTTTACTTGCTACTTACACTGGCAGTTGAAAGTGAGATAGACTGTCAAATAAGTCAGGCAAAAGGTTACCACATTCAGGCCAACAAGTGCTGAACTGTTTTCCTACTGTAATTACGCCTCAGTAAAACTTCCCCCGATAGGTTTCCCGAAAAACTGGTTTCAAGGAAAAAAACAAAACAAAAGTTGAAAAGGAAGTTCAAATAAAAGTTTTGAAGTTTCTTGTGGAGTCCCAAAAAAGTGGTAAACACTAAAAATCTTTGCTCAGCATAACACAGTCAAAAATAGCATTCACCTTCGTCACATAAACGACCGGTATATCCTGGACGACAATCGCACTTCCCGGAACCTCCCGTACAAATTCCATGAACACATGGGCATGAATTTAAACAATTCTCTTTTTCTTCGGGAGGACATAATATTGAGCAATCTGGTCCTGAAAGCGCCATTTATTTCTCAAGGATGTTCAAAACTGGTTGCGAATTTAACTTTAATTTATTTGAAGTCTTTAAATTCCATCTAACTCCAGTTCTCAGGTTTGTGCCATCAAAATTTTAAATTTGAAAACCAACCAGCCCATCCATCTGCACAACTGCATTCACCATTTACTGGATCGCATGTGGCACCATTCCAGCATTTGCATTCTTGCGAGCAGTTAATTCCATAGAAACCCTGAGGTCATAACAAGATTGCAAATTCAAAAATGAAATAAAACTGGCGCAAATTGATGGTAATGATGATATAAAATGACGTAAAGTGAAAAATCAGACGTCTTATCGATATCGGCCATATTCAATGACATTAATAATATGCTTGTTTCACTTCATTATAGTAAATTAAGAAACGGAACAGTTATCATTTCTTTCATTCAGTGAGTAATTAATGAAGAATTGAGCTCTAACTTTGCTACATGACACTTCACATTTTTTTTCAGTCCATCCGGCTGGACAAATACATGCACCACTTAACGGATCGCAACCGGCACCGTTTTTACAGTCGCATACTTGACATTCTGTATTACCATGACCACCCCAACAAGGTAGATTACACTGTGGTCCTCGCCAACCTGAAATTATTTTATCATTTATCATAACTTTGCGCTTTTATCACTGCACAGCTAGGCTGTTATGCATTACTAATGACGTGATTCAGCAGGACAAGAAATTTGTATAACATACCAGCAGTGCACTTGCATGTACCAAAACGATGATCGCACGAAGCACCGTTTTTGCAGTTGCACTTCGACTCACAGTTCATACCGAATAAACCTTCAGGACATTTCTCATCACAACTGAAGAATAATCTTGAAAAGCGCAGAAATTTTTAAAATTTTACAAAATAAGTCAATTTATATATTGAATATTCAATATTAACTCGATATTTGTCAAAAACAATTCAATCAAAAGTAATAATAATAATAAAAATGAAAAAAGGGTCGAAATTTAATGTTGTCGATCTTGAAATCAGAAATGAATCTTCATGTTTTACCGAATTCCCTGATATCCAGCAGCGCAAACACATTGTCCAGTGACCGGATCACATTGTGAACCAGTATTTAGATTACACTCGCACTTTTTCTCACAATTTTCACCATAATACGATGTTGGACATGGAGAATTACAGCCTGCTCCCGTATAACCTGCATTACAACTACAGGAACCAATGGTTGGATGACATCTGAAATTGAAATTAGATTAGAATATATAATGAATAAATTCAATTATATGAATACAGAGAATGTAAGGAATCAAAAACAGTACAACAAAAGAAGGAAGCGGAAAATTGTGATGATAAAATTAGTCTTGTAAAACTTACAATTTCGTATTGTTTATGTTGCAAGCGCATTCATTCTCACAATTTAACCCAAAACGATTAGATGGGCAAACTGTAATTTTAAAACTAAATCAAAAAGCAGTCATATTAAAAGTAGAAAAAATCAATAAATTTAGGAAGTTTTATTAAAAATAAAGGAAAATAATCGGCTGGTTAAACATTTCTTTAAGTTACTGGAAATGAATTTAATTTAAGGATGAGGAAAGGTAACAACAATTTAAGCAGCACTTTTCTGATCACAGTGTTCTCCATGAAATCCTTCCAGACAAATACATTTTCCGCTCACCGGATGGCAACGAGCTCCGTTTGCACAGTTGCATTTTTGTGCGCAATGAAAAGAGAATAATTGGTATATGCTAATTGAAAATTTGTTAATTGATTGGAAAGATTAATTTAAAAAAATTAATCTGATATCAATTGAAAATGTGCTATTTTTACCAGTTGCTTCAATTAGCGCTAATGTAAATAATTTGTGTTAGCTGATTTTTTAGAAGTGCAACTTACAGTTACAGTTAGCTGCTAGAAACGAGTAGCAAAGCGGAAGAGAAGGATTAAAATTTTGCGAATTTCAGTCAGATCAACTGATGTTGTGTTTCGACTATGGAATGAGCAATGTCGTTAGTTGTCCTTGTAAATGGTACTTACTTCTTTTCCAAATGTGCCTTCCGGACATGGCTCTTCACAATGCTTTCCGGTAAAGCCAACACAATGACAATTCCCAGTTACCGAATCACATTCATTTTCATTGTAACAGAAACAGTTCGATGCACAATTAATACCGTAATATCCTTTTTGACATTTGTTTTCGCAAAATCGACCCTAAAGTCCGAAATTTTTATTTTCAACTTAAATTTTAATTAAAATTTTCCTAAAAAGAACTGTAGAAGAAAGCTTCAAGATGATTCGAGTGAAATAAAAAATTAAATTGAGGGAAAATATTAAACTAAATTAAATTGAAATAAACTAAATTAAATTGAACTAAACTAAGTTAAGTTGAAAACAAACTAAATTTGATATTAACCTTTCCAACTGCTCCATTATTTCTAGGCTTTTTAAATATGACAGGAAAAAAAGAAATTTGAAACAAAAAACTAACTGAAAATCCAGCAGTACACATGCAACTGCCATCTTTTTTGTTACAGTATGCGCCATTTTGGCATTTACAGTCATGGATGCAATCGGGTCCATGCTTCCCCTTAATTGAATAGGCTTTTAGGAAATTTTATTCAAAGTTTTAAATCAGTAAAAAGTTCCATAGCCGGCACTTACATTGCTGTTTCAAAATTTGTCATAAAACTGAAATTTTAGAAAAATTCCCACTTCGTCACATTCTTCAAGACATAGTGGACCAGAGAATCCAGCAGTACATTTGCAAGAGCCATCAATCGAGTTGCAAGTACCATTATTTTGACATAGACACAGAAATGCGCAATTGGGACCCCAGCGCTTATCATTACATGGATCCTTGCAATGTTCACCATGATAACCTAAAAGGTCAAATATAAGCTTTTCTGAAATAACTAGTATTAACTCATTATCAATACAATTTTGTGTTCGTTAATTATTTCATTTGAAACTTGATGGTTAAATGTCGAAGAAAAACAAAAACATAACAAATACCAGGAGGACAAGAGCAGATGCCCGTAATAGGGTCACAAGAAGCTCCATGGCTGCATTCACATTTCAAGGAACAAGATGGACCCCAGAATCCCGATGGGCAAGCTGCAAAGCAAATATTAACATCAATTACAATGGTGAGAGTGACCAAAATTCCAATACAAAAAATATCAGTAAATGGAAATCGAAAATTAAAATTCCATCAATGAAATTTTCTGAAGTTAAACCTATGGAACATGTGGGACCTCCGAAACCAGAATCACATGTACAATTATTTGGTGCCGTACAAATACCTTTCCAGCACGGTGGATCACATAAAGCTGCAATAATTCAATAAATTTTACAACAAACTGTAGAAATTTTCTATTATGTTACACTTTAACTCCATATGTTCTTTGAATTTAACATCGGAAGTTCTACATGTATTTAACTAACTCATACGAAAGTTTGTAACTGACGTAATTTATCGAAATGTTTCGGATTACTGTTATCACATACAGTTGAATGAATACAAAAGCATTTGATATGAGATTTTATACCTCACTAAACAGTGACACGTACCTAGAACAGTGATACGTGTTCTAGAATGAAATATCATGACTTTTGTACTTATGTTTTTTCAGTTACAATAAGCAAATGGCTCCCTTTACATAGATACACAGAAGCTATCATGTGAAAAAGTAAGACTCATATTCAACATAACTAGGCAATATGAATATACCATATCGATTAATTATAATAAACAGTACTTTATTTAACTGTTGGTGACCAAATCGTACTAGTTAACAATTTTCCATATTCAGTTACTGCCATTGCTTTGCTACTACAGTATTTTCTTCATACTTTTAAGAAGAAAAGACATTGTCTAAAGGAACTTACGGATACAAGTATTATTGGCGGCCTTTGTATAGCCATCACAACATTGCTTTACATACACTGTTACAATTTTTGGCACATGTCGATAAGATATTTTTTCACCATACCTAATTAATTAAAACAAATTTCGAACATGCCCCATATTCCCATTTTTTCAAATTAAAAGAAAAGTCATGATAAAAATTCCAAAATTGTGTAATTTTTAATCCGAATTTCCGAGTGATCTTTGGATATTGGTCAAATTTGCCAATCTGCCAATCTGTTGGATCTCTCAGTGCCGGTTCATATTAGCCTGATATATTTAAGAAACAACCTAAAAGTAAAGCCTAACGTCTAAAAGGATTATTTTCATCTGAATTATTTTTGAAACTTGTTATTTTGATAACTTTTCGAGAAGCTAAAGGAGGAATCTGAATTAAACTATTTGTTTGGTAAATTAAAATAATCCACGTTAATATTTACCTAACTTCATCGCACTTAAAGCCTTTACTAACATCTCCACACCAAACTTTCGTCCTGTATGGTACCTTTTGGATGTATTTCTCCAATTGAAGCTCTTCAGTCCTAAAATTGTTTTCATAATCATTTCGTTCTTTTTCCGAAGGTCACCTGTGATAACATATATTATCATATCAAGGCGTTCTCACATTAAGTAAACGGAGGGTCTTTCTCGTTTAAGAATTAACATTTCTATTTATGAACTGAGAAAAAATCTTCAATAATTTTATGATTAGTGGTAAGGAAGTTTCGATTTGTGATAACACAATTGTGAAATATCTGATAAAAACTGAAATGTGAACTGTGACTTTGCCGAATTTTAAAATGTCATTTGTTTTTAGATTTTCCAGCGTGAAATCACTGAAATGTTTCTCTTCCCACTAAACATTCAGGAATCATTTTTGTAGATTCTGTTTTAGTGTCATTTAAAATGGGAATAAGATGAACTGCTGAAAATCGTCAGTGGCAATTTTCATCCCATGTATTTCGCTCAAATTTATATTTCTTTTTCCAATAAATGCCGAGAAATAGTTTTGCCCCAAATTTATAAAATGGTTTTTTTAAAATAATTTTAAATATTTTGAAAGGAACTAAAACGAGATTTATCTGAATATATTCATTCTTAACAAATAAATTTCCAAGACACAAATCTCAAATATGCTCATTGAATAAGTGAATTTAAAATTTTTAAAGGATTACCCAACACGACAAACAGTTAAAGTTAACTTACTCGACAGGTACTGTGCATACATTGTCTCCTGTCGGTTCGTCACAATAAACAAGTTTAATGAAAGTTACAACGGCAACAGGAAATAATTTAAATAAGTAATACATGACTTGATTACTGAAAACAAACAACACAACTATTTATGAGCTGCAAAAATTTGCAAATATCAATCGGCTAGATCAAATAATAATAAATCACAAAGACAATTTAATTTTGCAAATAAACTTTTAGCAGATATTTTTGTAATTTGCTTCTTAATTCAGTCAAGTTAATTATTGGTTCAATCTGAAGTTACTCGAACTATTCCATTTAAAATATATTATCAGCACTGAATTATTTTGAATTTGTGTGTTAATAAGCTTAACCTTTTATGACACTTTAAAATTTAAAAAATTTAATAACGAATGGTTGAGAAACAGAGCTCTTAAAAAATTTAATAACATTGAGAAAAAGCTTTTAAAAACTTCACTTCTATGTCACTTAATTAAAACAGTCAAGAAGAATAAAAATTTAATGAATGGGTAAATGTGACGAATTCCCTTTTCATGATTCAATTACGGTCTCTAATATAACACTAAAACCTGAACGGAGCCAGATTCCTTCAGGAAATATTTTCAGGAAACGGTTATTAGAACAAAATGCAACAAATATATCAAAATATCAATTGAATTATGATAGAATTGGAATAAATAAATTCGATCGATGAGATGCGTACCGCAGACATTAATGCAACTGTGAAATGGAAAGAACACGAATTGTTGTTATGTGTTGCGATGGGTCGAGTCAGGGACACGATTTAATCTCTCTGTTTATATTTGTCATCTTTGGTGTTCTTAATCAAGTGAAAGGTCAGCTTCGCTGGAAAGTTCTAAGTGACTGAACTTTCCAAAAGAGTAAGAGTAAGAATTAGTTTAGGAAGTTTACTTGTGCAGTTTACTTGAGAGATGAGATGGCATGAAATTGTCATCATCCATTTTTGCATGACAAATTTGTGAAAAGAAAACTTTCCAATCAAGTTCCATCAACTTTTGTTCTGACTCACTTCACTTGCCTAATGCAAATATTAGCAAATAATGCGCACTGCCGTAAAAGTTCCACCAAGAAAAGTGAGATCATTTATTAGCAAAAATTAGGCTACAGTATTAAGGAGGGTCCCCTTCTCACTAACTTTGCATTGTGAAATCATTAAAATAATGGTTTTAAAAGCTGTGAAATTCCAATTCAAAGTATCAGTGAACAATGATTCCCATGAAAATGAGAGATACCCTTTACAGTAATTCTAATTTTCTATTTAATACATAATACATACACATGATATTTAATAGATATTTAATAAACAACAATATTGATCAAATGGTACCCATGGTACTAATAACCACGATGGTACTACAAATGCATCGCATAATGTCTTCATCCTGACAAGGAAGGAGTTTGACATATTTGTAGTACAAAGTGAAGCTACTACAGGACAGAGAATATTTGCCGATTTCCCGGATTGTTCGGTAGGCAAGATTTCTCAGATTGCAGATTTCTAGTTCGATTCAAAACCAGATTATGATTTCTTAGTTTCCTAGAAATCATGATTTCCCGGATTCGTAGTTCGATTTGGACATCGAATCATGATTTCTCAGATTCCTAGTTTTATTTAGACACCAGTTCTTTTCGTCCCGAATTAGTTATCAATAAACACACACAATCACAAAAGTAGTATCCAATCATTTCTTTTCTATAACTAACTAATATTGTGGCTTTTTTCCGCGGTTTTTATAAGGGCTTCGAAATCTTTGTTCTTCATTTAACAATGAGTCGACAACAATAAGTCGATCTTCAGTCGCTTTTACAATATCTGCAATGTACCAAAGATTACTACTGCATGATTTGCATGTTATTGGTGACATGCACAACAGAATTTCGTTCATTTCACACTATTCCTCAATCATTCACCATATTACTGTCACTCAGTATATTATCATACCAAATTGACAAACCATATTTGCAAAATGACTTGGCAGAATGAGGCAATAAACTCTGACTACGTCACTCTCGCTTAAAAAGTTATTCGATAAGTGAAAGAATGCGTCTTTCGGGAGAAGGCAGGGGGAGGGGAGGGGGAGAGGAGGGAAA